GAAGCAAGGAGCAGCTGAAGAAAACATGAAAAATGGTTTCACCCGTCCCAGCTCAGAGACAGTTAGTCACGTGGGAGACTCTGAGTTGTCTCTGATTCACATTATTCACACAAGGAAGAAAGAGTCTGCGTTTATGTCGTTGACGAAGCCGATGTTTAATTTAGCTGTGTACATGTAAGGTGCACAAAGACCAGTCCTACTTTATAATTCAACGCCAATATGGCATTTTGCACTAGCATGCCTCTGTAAACTCCGCAGGATAGAGTGGAGACGCCCCTACTGTGTGATGGTTCTACTTAGTTGCAGGCATCATGGAAAGACGGCCTCCTCAACGACACCGAACCCATGACGCAGTCCCTCTTGCCGCCGCAACAAACACCGAGATATTCCTGTTTGGCTCGTTTCCTTGCATCCAAACCATTCAAACAACCCACCATCTGACGACCTGCCGACTACTGTCGGCATACTGGGCGAGACGCTTGACCCACCGCAGCTTCCTCGCCAATGCGCCGTAAGGCTAGCCGCCGAGAAACGGCAGGTGTGGCCTGGCCCAATGCACGGCCGCCAGTGACGGGGGGCCGTGGGCCAGTCAATCCGTCGAGATCGGTGTGCTTGTCATGACTGTTTTCACTTTCTGCTCATATGGCGCCTCGTACATATGTCAAAAGGAAGCACATAATTATCACCGTCGAGAAAAGACGCAAGTAAGATACAAAGGCCAGCCAGCGTGAGGCTGGAGCCAGTGCATGCATGGACAACGTGCGCACGTATCGTAGCACGGCCTGGTACGGCGTGTGCTCTGGTTGCCTATGCAAAAGCTCGTCCTGGTATGACACGTTGTGTTTTAGTCTTTGTGCTTCGTGCCCTGTATGTTTATATGTTTATTTTGCTGGACACATTTTGCTGGACACTCACATATTGTTGTTGTGTTGCTTTGGTCGCTAAATTATTGAGAGAGTCGCACAGCAACATTGTCTGCCTGTGATTGGTCAGCCTGATCTCACCCACCAAATCGCCCCGCTTTTCTCCGCGCCGTCACCAGGCGCCGATCTCCAGCCTATCACGACAGCAGTAGGCGAGGCAGCGCAGCCTGTCATCACCGTTTCCGCCACTGCCGACCCCTACTCCATTCGACAAACAACCACGCCGGCCCTTTGACCAGCGATCTATGTTCCAACGATCAACGTGACGCGATCAACGACGGGTGTCTGGCGATTCGCCGTTCATCAACATTACGACGCGGAACAAACGAGCGATCGAACGGGCCTCTACGCACGATCTCCCCCTTCCCCCCTCACCATCGCGTCATTGACGAAGCGTGACGGGCCATCACCGTCGGCTCACAGTCGACCATGAACCCTTTCCAGACGCAGCAGCCTGATGAGGGCTACTCCGAAGACCCACTGTCGACATCCGGGTCGCTGGCTGTTGCGAGCAAGTCATCTGCTGGGAACACTGAAGGCCTGCCACCAGCTCTGGCACGCCACATTTCGTCCCTCTCGGTTGCGTCCAAGATTCGTACGTTCTGCTTTACGTATTTGCTTGTACGAGTCGCTGATGCGGACATTCGCTGGCTAACCCGCTGAGAACTCACCGAAGCCCTCCTTGACAGCTTGCCGACCAGCGCCATCGCCCAGATCGTTCAGAAGCTGAGTCCGCGCCTGTACATTGACTTTATCCGCTACCTGCCCGCCGAAATCTGCCTCAACATCCTCGGCTACCTCGACCCGCTCTCTCTGATTGCGGTTGCGCGCTCGTGCCGCGCCTGGTACGGCCTGGCCTTGGACCGGAAGCTCTGGGAGCGCCTGTACTACCTGGAAGGCTGGAAGGCCATCACGTCCGAGCTGCAGAAATGGGAAGAGACCATCAACCGCGACCGGCCGGCGCCGTACGACGAGACGAGCAGGGGTCACACGTCTAAGAGACGCGCTATTACCTCGTCACGACGCGCCGCGGACGGTGACCGGGACCATGTGATGCTGGACGCGGACCGGCTGTGGAAGTCGGACATGACGGCCGTCGACTCGTTGCCCGAGGACCAGCCGGTCTCGAGCTTGTTTGGCAACGACAAGCGAGGAGACAACGTGCCGGACCCGGCAGCGGGCACGTCCTTTTCGTCTGTGTCGACGGCCGCCTCGTCGTCGTCGTCGTCGGCGGCGGCGGTGTCGGCTTCGGCAAGCAAAAAGGGCAAGCAGCGTGCATCGTCGCCACCACCAGGCCCGTCCGCAGACAGCGCCGCGCCCGTGCGCGAAGCTTCGCCAGAGGGCCTACCGAAGCAGAGCCTCTGGGTGCTGGACTCGGCCAGCGGCAAGTACCGCATGAACTGGAAGCACCTCTACACGCTGCGGCGGCGGCTCGAGGCCAACTGGGAGCTCGGCAAGTACACAAACTTCCAGTTCCCGCACCCCGACCACCCCAACGAGGCCCACGGCGAGTGCATCTACACCATCCAGTTCAACCAGGACTATCTGGTCAGCGGCAGCCGCGACCGCACCATCCGCATCTGGAACCTGCAGACCCGCCGCCTCGCGCGGATGCCCCTTGCCGGCCACCGCGGCTCCGTGCTCTGTCTGCAGTTCGACTCGGACCCGGAGGAGGACCTGATTGTGTCCGGCAGCAGCGACTCCAACGTCATCCTGTGGCGCTTCTCCACGGGCGAGATCCTCCAGCGCCTGCACCGCGCCCACCGCGAGCCTGTCCTCAACGTCAAGTTCGACAAGAACATTTTGGTGACGTGCTCCAAAGACAAGACCATCAAGGTGTTCAACAGGCGCCCGCTCAAACCAGGCGATCTGGGCTATGCGGTTGGCGACGGCAAGCCGTCGTCGTCTGCCGTCGACCCCGTGCCCATCCATCTCAAGCGCTACGGCTACGACGACGAGATCAGCCGCCTGCCGCTCAAGCCGCCCTACACCATGATTGGCAGCCTCGAGGGCCACAGCGCCGCGGTCAACGCCGTCCAGATCCACGGCCGCGAGATTATTTCCGCCTCGGGCGACCGCAACGTCAAGATCTGGGACTGGCCCAACCAGCAGTGCGTCCGTACCTTGGTGGGCCACAGCAAGGGCATTGCCTGCGTGCAGTACGACGGCCGCCGCATCGTATCCGGCAGCAGTGACAACGAGGTCAAGGTGTTTGACCGCCGCACGAGCCTCGAGGTAGGCAGCCTGCGCTCGCACTCAAACCTGGTGCGCACCGTCCAGGCCGGGTTCGGTGACCTGCCCTACAGCGCCGAAGAGGACGAAACGGCCGCCGCGCTGATGGACCAGCGGTACCTCGAGGCGGTGCAGAACGGCACGCTCCCGATGAACCCGACACACGTTCGGCGCCGCCACCGCACCGGCAACCGGTCGGCCAATGACGACGACGATGACAACGGCATGCTGCGGCCCGAGAACATTCGCTTCACGGGTGCCAAGCTGCCCCCCGGTGGCGGTGGTGGCCAGTACGGCCGCATCGTGTCGGGCTCCTACGACACCACGATTATCATCTGGCGTCGCAACAAGCACGGCATGTGGAAGCCGCAACACCATCTGAAGCAAGAAGAAGCCGCAGCCGCCGCGTCCGCAGCCACGTCCAGCGCGACAAATGCGCTGCGCATGGCCCGGCGCCAGGCTGCAGCTGCTGCTGCCGCGGCCGGCGAACCCGGAAGCCAGCCGCTGACACAGGCGGCGCTTGGAGCACTACAGCAGCAGCAGCAGCAGCTACAGCAGACCGGCCAGCAGAGCGCGGCGAGCGGAAACCATGCTGCAGCAACAGTCGCCCCAGGACAAAGTACCACGCCTGCACAGCAGCACCAGCCTCAGCCCGGCACAGCATCCGCCACCCCGCAACCGTCCTCGTCCCACGCGATGCACGTTGACCTGCCGGACGCGGGCGCTGCCTCCTCGTCAGCAGCGGCCACTGCAACAGCGCATACACCGGTGCAGACGCAGCTGGCACGGCTGATCGACGACCTGATTGCGCAGGGCGTCCATGCTCTCCAGCAAGCACTCTCCACGTACCCGGACCTGCTCGAGATGCAGCCCACGCTGCAGGCCGCCATTGACCGCCACCCGAGCCCCTTTGTCCGCTCACAGCTGCGCCAGGCCGTCAGCTCGGCCCTGGTTCGGGCCCAGATGGTGCAGGCCGCCACCGGTCCACGTCCAGCACCAGCCGGCCTTGCAGCGACAGCAACACAAGCTACGACCGGCACGTCGGCCGAAGGCAGCGCACAAGCCGAGACAGCCCAGACGGCCCAGACGGCAGCTACGCCAGCTGGCGCAGCGCCGGCGTGGTCGACGGTGGTAGGCGTGGGCGCCGGAGCGGGTACGGCCGGCTCCAGCGCACCGCCCGCCACGGCCATTGCGCCCCACACCGTCTCGCTCGCCGCGCTCGAGAACCACCAACAGCAGGTCGTTTTGCCGCCGCCCGCCGTGCCGCCGGCGCCGGCGCCGGCGATCGTGGGGACCAACACCGCACCACATCCCCACGCTCAAGCTGCTGCCGCCGCCGCCGCCGCCGCTGCCGCCGCCGCTGCTGCTGCAGGACCTCCGCCGCACCATCCGCATATGCACGCGGGTGCAGCCGCTGCCGCCGCCGACGACATGGCGAACCCGGCGCGCGTCTTCAAGCTGCAATTCGATGCCCGCCGCATCATTTGCTGCAGCCAGACGGCCATCATTGTTGGGTGGGACTTTTGCAACGGTGACCCGGAGCTCGAGGAGGCGGCGCGGTTCTTTGGGACGATTGAGTAGATTTGCGCAGATGGTGGTGCAAAATATGGTCAGCATGAACTGGGCGTTTGGCTTTGATTGCATTTGAGCTTCGGTCGCATTGTATTGCATCAGGCTTCATTTGAGAGCTTTGCGCCATTACACGCGTTGAACAATTTAAAATCGTGTTGCTAGTAACATGAACGAGAAAGGAAAAGACGAAATAAATAACACATGTGGCGAAGCACATAGAACAGGACGCGCGCATCGACGACCCTGTCGTCCATCCACCCTCCCACCCATCTCTTACCGAGCCACCTCTTGGACCTTGCCTTCGGTCTCGGGTGCCTCGTCGATGAACTCGGGCACCTCGTCTTGCATGAAGCTGGGTACACCGGTCGCCGCGCCCATCTCGGCCTCCAGCTCCACGTCCTGGCCCAGCGCCTCCAGCTCGGCATCCAGCTCGTCCTCGTCCACGTCCTCGGGAACGTCCCAACTGAGTGCTTCCTGGATGTCGTTGTTCAAGTACTGCAGCTCGTCGAGCTCGTCACGTATCTTGTCAATCTTGTCCAGGTCCACTTTGCCCAACTGCTTGCGCAGGTTCTTGTTCGCCGTATTCAATGCACCCACCACCGCGATCGTATTTGCCGAGCTATCCGTCATGCCACGCGCGTTGTCCATGGTCCACAATTGCCCCTTGTAATTTTTGCGCAGATTCTCATAGAGCTTGCGTTCCCGCAGGATCTCGATGGCCTCCTCCCGGAGCCTTTGTTTGGCGCGCCCGGGGGGCAGTTTTCTCATTTTGGAGCTAACGACCGCCAGCTTCGCATCGAGAGCGGCAATTTTTGTTTCTTTGGACTCGAGACTCTCGTTGGCACTGGCGCTGACTCTGTTGAGCTCGGCGATGGCGTCGGCCTTGGGGTCCTTGGACCGGGTGCCGAACAATCGGTTCATGGCGGGCAGAATAGTAAAGCGATGTCGCGTTGGATGCAAGATGTTGCTGGGAGAAGATCACGATAGTGCAAAGCAACCAGGAGCAATTGCTCGTGTTGGGGGCGATGAGAATCGGGAGGCGCCGATTGTAACGAATTCGGTGCGGGGTTGGGAGTTTATGGGGATGGGATGAATCGGTTGACAACAACGGGACGGCAGTCGAAATGGTCGTACAAGTAGTTTCGTCTTATGTGAGTCAGGGGTGTTCGTCGGATTCTTTTTGTTGGACTCTCTTCGTCGGATCGTGATTGTTGAATGAAGACCACTGAGATTTAGGAAGTCACGGAAGCGAGTTACAAGGAAAGAACGACGCCACCAACCAACCATATATTCTTGCCCAAGACAACGAGGCTGGAGTTTTAGCGCAGCAACCGACGTCAGTGGACAGGCAGCCACTTCGGCTTGCATTAGTCACCTAGTTGGGTCAGGCCGGTTCATTTAGGTTGTCTCGTGACTTTGGTACAAATAACCTGCTTCACTGGGCAGAAGGCGCATTTGCATTGAAACGTCAAGAACAAGCATCATATGAAAGCGTCCGTACTGTTTAAACAAACCTGAAGCCAAGCAGGCTCTCGAGAAACTGTCCTAACTGGTGTCGAAGCATAGTGTTTCTTTGCTGTCGGCTCTCAATATTGGTCAAAAGTGTAACCTTACCAAAAGCAAGGGAGGAAAACATATCACCCTCGAAGACAGTATCTTTGCTTAGGCAGTTGGAGAATGCTGTACGACATATTTGTCGTTTACACATTCAATATGAGGATATTATACGAGCAAACTTGGAGTGAATTTAGTCGCTTGTATATGAGAGAAGTCGTCGGTCGCTGTATACTGTGCTTGAAGGTGCAGTACAAACAAATAAAATTACCAACCAAGAGCCTCATGAACAGGGAAAAAAGCTTCTCGGGGTTCGCGAGGATTTGGTATCATCGGTACGCGAATTTATATGGTGGAAAGGTTGATATCGGGCGTCGGCCAGTATTTGTCGTACTCCATTATCAAACACATCCCCTTTTTTCTGCATGGCCTGATCTGCATGGGGGGAGCGGCGGGTGAAGGAGCGGGCCGCGTAGAGGACAAATGTGCAATTTTGGAGTGGTTCTGGTGGCTCGCGTCACAGTCTGACACGTATTTTCTGCATTGGAGCCTAGCATACTATATCCAGAGCTGGTCGGCGGTAAAGCAGAAGTGTTGATTGGCGTCATGTTGCTTCGTTTGAGAAGTTTGTTTATTGGTCTGTGGCTGCATGCTTTTCAATTCTAAACAGCCTTCTCAATTAGAAGAAGAGCATTTTAAGGAAGGCCTTTCCCCCTTCCTCTCATCTTTATGAGAAATCATTTGTAAATATTCCGGCTCGCCCGAGCACGTCGTCTTCTTGTCCTTTCTTTGGATTTCAAACAGACTACTTCTCGTTTTTTGTCACTTGTTCGCACGGAGGGCGTTTACCACGTGCTTTGACGAAACCACCATCCATATCAACACATTTATCTCGTTTAGAGATCATCGCCGTCGCCTTAGGCAAAGTGATGGATCCTCTTAGTACCGTTGCATCCAGCAAATCACTGGTACGGGCCATTTATGAGACGTACACGACAATCCACGCCATCAAGGGCCGTCCCAAAGCGTTTGACAGGGTCAACAAGAGCCTGCAGCTTATTCAACTAGCCCTTTGGAAAATACAAACCCACCGCTCTGGTCCCAGTGCCGATGCTTTGCTGGCAAACGCCATTCGGCCATTCACACGCCGGTGCGAACAGAAGATCAGGGTGCTTTACGACATTTTTGTCAATTTGAAGCATGGTTTGGGGAGCGATTCCTGGCAAAGACAGACGTGGGCGGACCTTGGCCAAAACCGCCGCAGTGTCCTTCTCGAGCTTGCAGAGGGAAACAAAGTCGAGGCCCTCATGCAGGAAATCCTGGCGGACTTGGTCATTGTGGACCAGTACCAGACATTTGGCGTGGCCACCGAGAGCCAGGTAGCACAGTTGCAGAGGAGGATGGAGGAGCTGTCAACGACAAAGTCCGTCACGGCCGACGCGGTTGCAGCAGCACCGAAACCGCTTATTGCTGGTGGAGGAACTGGTTACCAGAATCATCAGGGTAACTCGGGGACGGGGCACCAGGCGGTCGGTAAGACTATGAGCTTTGGTACGGAACAAAATGATATCCCTTTTGCCAATTTAACACATGATTCGGTTGCCTAACAGTATTTGTGACGTTGGTTTAGACGAAGATGCAACAAAACGACAGGCAATCAAGAAGACTCTACATACGACACCGTACAAGGACGACAAAAACCGGAGTCCGTTTCCTGTTCCCGGCACGTGCAAGTGGTTTGTTGGACATACGCTGTTCAGGCAGTGGTGTAACAGTAGCGAGTCGACCATTCTTTGGGCGTCTGCGGATCCTGGGGCTGGCAAGTCTGTCCTGGCAAGACATCTCGTCGACACCATATTGCCTCGAGAACTCGGATCCAGCTTGATCTGCTATTTCTTCTTCAAAGACGAGGATGACGGCAAACGCTCGGCTAAAAGCGCGCTGCGATGCATGCTCCATCAGGTCTTCGAGCAGAGAGAAGAGCTTCTTTCTGACAGAATCGTCAATCGATTCGGGGGTGGCGGTGGTTACGAGACCAACTCCTTAGCCGATACTTGGGACATCTTTACCCAAACACTGTCGCAAAGACTCCCCGGCGAAGACCATATCAGCGTTGTGTGTGTCATCGACGCCCTAGACGAATGCGATGGCAGTGAGCAGGCCGATTTCATGGGGCTGCTGTGCAACTACTACCAACAAATCGGTCAAGATTCTCGTTTCAGCATCAAGATGCTCATCACCAGTCGGCCTTACAGCTCAATCCGCAAAGGCCTTCATCCTCTGGAATCGAATGGACTCTCTCTTATTCATTTAAGGGGCGAGACGGACGAGGAGATCGAGAAAATCAAACAGGAGATTGATCTTGTCATCCAAGCCGAGGTCGACCAGCTGCAGTCCTATTTTCAGCTCGAGGATTCCGAAAAGGAGGCGTTGCTGGCCGGGCTACAAAAGTTCGACAATAGGACATATCTCTGGGTTCATCTCACACTGGACGTGATCAAAGCCCAGTTCGACGAAGATATGGATCTGGCCATCATCGCATCGAGTTTACCACCTTCGGTTGATGCGGCATATGAGCGCATGCTCTCGAGCAGCCCCGACAAGGAAAAGGCCAAACGACTTCTGCATTTTCTTGTTGCAGCATTGCGGCCCTTGACAGTCGAGGAGCTGAACTTTGCGCTGGCTTTGCTACCACACCACCGCAACTATGATGAGGTGGTGATGATACCGGAAGCACGGTTCCGTGAACACATCCGAGAGCTCTGCGGATTGCTTGTGACGGTCATCGACTCCAAAGTGTATCTTCTGCACCAAACGGTGAAGGAATTCCTCGTGTGGGACAAAGACATCGACAGCGAAGAGGCCTCGTCAACACACGGACCTCGTTTGGTGTGGAAATATTCTCTCCATGGACAAGAATCGCAACAAATTATAGCCAACGCTTGCATGCGGAGTTTACATCTCCATGATACCGAGGAGATGTTATCGTCCGCAAAGTCCACCACAAACACCTTCCTATTGTATTCTGCTCATTATTGGGTTAACCACTTTCTCGCATCGGAGACCAAAGCGAGCGATGCTGCCTTGGCTCTTGTATCTATGCGACACGCTCCGAAATGTCCCGCAGCGTGGTTCATGGTATACTTTTTTCATTTTGAGACGAAGTATCCCCTCGGCTTTACGAGGTTGATGGTTGCGTCATATTGTGGTCTCGAACAGATTGTCAAGCGTCTGTTGAGACACCCCAGCGCCGATTTGAATGCGAAGGATAGCGTAGGTCGGTCGGCACTCTCCTGGACTTCCAATATGGCATGTGACCAGCTCAGCTTTGAGACATTACACGGTCAGGTCGATGGATTTGCAAGGGAGACAATGGTGGCTGCAGCAGGGACAAGATACGCAACTGTCGCCCGGTTGCTTATCGACGCTGGTGCAGAGGTCGATTCGATGGATGTCCACAACCTGACGCCCTTTTATTATGCAATCAAACATGGCTGCAGCATTACCGCCCGGCTTCTTCTCCAATTCGGAGCGAATGTCAATACTTTGGGCAGCTCGGGCGAAACGCCGGTGGACGTGGCCACTACCAGAAGCGAGGAGGCCACCGTACGATGGTTGCTTGAGGCTGGGGCGGATATCATGATACATGATAGAACTCGCCGCTCCCTTTTTCGATGGTCCGTCCTCACGGGGGAAGAAAGCCTTGTACAGATGCTGCTCGATGCTGGTACAGACGTGGCCATAGCGAATATACCCGATGAGATCGGTGTAAGTCCGCTTGACATAGCCATCATCGAAGGCCGGAATTCTGTTATACAGATGCTGCTCGACGCTGGTTTAGACACGAATTTGCTTGACGGGTTGGGTTCAACGTCGCTCCACACAGCCATCCTCCATGGCCAGGATTCTATTATAAGGATGCTGCTCGATGCTGGTGCCGATCCAAATTTAGTCGACAACTTGGGTTCAAGTCCCCTTGCCACAGCCATACACGATAGCCAGGATTCTGTTATACAGATGCTGCTCGATGCTGGTGCCAATCCAAATATGACCGACGAGTCGGATGAAAGCCCGCTTAACTGTGCCATCGCCGAAGACCGGGTTTCAATTGTACGAATGCTGCTCGATGCTGGAGCGGATCCAAATGCAGCCGGCGAGTTGAACAGAAGTCCACTTGAAGTCGCCGCCTGCGATGGCCGGATTTCTGCTATGCAGATTCTGCTCGATGCTGGGGCTGACCCGAACTCAAAGGAATCTACAGGATTAAGCCATCTGACAACAGCAGTCCTCCATGACAGGGAATCTGTTTTACGGGTTCTGCTCGATGCAGGTGTTGATCCGAATGTGAGCGACATGACAGGCTTAACTCTGCTTGAATTAGCCGCTTTACGCGGCCAGGAATCCGTGGTCCGCATTCTGCTCGATGCCGGTGCCGATCCGAATGCTAGCGATGGTCAACAAATGCGATCGCTTGGAGCAGCCGTCTCCCAAGACCGGGAATCTGTGGTGCGGATGCTCCTCGATGCTGGCGCCGATGTGACATTGTACGGTGAGGGACTGCTTCTACTAGCCAAATCCCGGGGCCAAGATTCAATTGTACGGATGCTGACCGAAGCTGGTGTCGATGCGGAACTGGACGACGTTGATGGGGTGAATCTTCCTCAAATTGCTCGTAGCTAGGATTCCGCTAAAAGCCTTACACTCGTGGCATGATACGACATTATAAAGTTTGGCAAAGCAGTCCACGGCTCGAATTATCAGTGACGAGGCCACCGATGTTTGTTTCTGTTACGAGGACAAAAATATTGGAGTCAGTTTTACCTATCTTAAACACTTGCACATTGCTCAATATGTGTCCAACATATATCAACAGTTGCGGTTCCATAATGGTTCCTGTCTTGGCTTTGCCAATTTACCGACAGGACACGTTCTTCATAAAACGAGAATCGGATTTCTGCACGTTACTGGACGACTGGTGGTTTCAACTTGTCCAGGCCAACTCGTTTGGACATGGGAGAGTCCTAGGCAAACAGAAAAGCAGGTTAGATCGTGGACGGTCACTGACATGTGCTGAGCATCCGACAGCGCAGACTCACCAGCATCCCGGTCCAGCCAAAGGTGTTGAGGATCCAAGCCATCGTCGCAAAGGTTGCACGCCAGAGCACCGGCTGGGGCGACGTGCGCAGCAGATCCGAGGCCACCTGACGCGCATAGTCATTGGCGGGCGTCCAGTGAATGCCGTCTAGAAAGTCCTTCTTCTCGATGCGCTCCTTGAGCGGCGCGTACACACTTCCCTCGGGCAGGTGGCAGCGCTCGTCGGCGTTGTCAAACAGGTGCGAGGCCACGGAGCCGGTTATGATTGTCACCACGCGGACGCCCAGCGGCGCCAGCTCGACGCGCAGCGTATCGCCCAGAGTGTTGATGGCGGCCTTGGACGCGTTGTACGCCGTCTGGTACGGCGGGTGGAGCACCGTGTTGATGGAGCTGATGTTGGCCACGACGCCGCCGGCGGCCCTGAGCTGGGGCAGCAGCGCATGGGTCACAGCAAACACGCCAAAGATGTTTGTGTCGAGGACGCGCTTGACGTCGGCCAAGTCGCAGTCGGCAAAGGGCATGACGTGGTTGAGGCCCGCGTTGTTGACGAGGATGTCGAGCCTGCCGCCGGACGCGGTTGCGACGTGCGCGACGGCCGCCTTGATGGACTCTGGCGACGTGACGTCCATCTCGAGCGTCGTGATGCCGAGAGCCTCGAGCTCGGTCATCTTGGCAGTGTTGCGCGCCGTCGCAAACACCTGCAGGCCACGCTTGTGGAACTCGCGCGCCAGGGCATCGCCAATGCCGCCGAGGCTGCAGCCCGTGATGAGGACCGACTTCTGAGCCACCATGTTGAGGTCGAGATCAGTATGCGAAACGACGTGCGTCGGGGAGACAATGTGCTTAGTTTATGGAAGGCAGTTTGTTTACGGTTGCTCTACGATGCCCATCGCTATGTCCGTGCTGTTGACATTCTCCAACACAAAAGGAGGGAGGGAGGGAGGTCGTTTACCCCGTAAGGTCGTTTACCCCGTAAGGTCGTTTACCCCGTATTTCACAGCCTCGCTGAAAACGACCAGCGCCAGCTTCAGTGTGTGTTTTGACACACTGCGCCAAAAAGGGGCTAGACCCTCAGAGGCAGTTGGTCCTGCCATTGGCCCCGCGCTAATCCAAGACGAGGAAGGACCAACCGACTGCTGCTGCCGCGCCCTGCAAAATACTCAATTTGTAGCATGAAGCTCTTGGAGCTTAAACTTTAGGCCTGAAAAACACATGCCCCTTTTCGAGTCCATTCACACTTTTGTCGACGGCCGTATTTTTTGTGAACCAGCACACGTCCTCGACAACGACATCTTCAAGTCCAATTCGTTCCTCCCCCGTACGGTTCACACCCTCCACTACGATGGCCGACACGAAGGTGTACCGTGCGACCACCACCGCACCGGTGAACATTGCCGTCGTCAAGTATGCATGCAGCCTCACCGCTCCCTTCGACGTCGAAGCCCTCGTCTTCTCGCTCATCTGCTGACCACCGTGGCTCCTGTTTAGGTACTGGGGCAAGCGCGACCCCAAGCTCAACCTCCCCACCAACTCGTCGCTCTCCGTCACCCTCGCACAGTCCGACCTCCGCACCTTAACCACAGCCACATGCTCGGCCGCCTATGCAGGCCAGAATGACACCCTGCTCCTCAACGGCGAGCCCTCTGATGTCTCGGGTGCGCGCACCCAGGCTTGCTTCCGTGCCCTGCGCGAGCGCCGCGCCGCCCTCGAGGCTGCCGATCCGTCTCTGCCCAAGCTCGCCAGCCTGCCCCTGCGCATTGTGACGGAGAACAACTTCCCCACGGCCGCCGGCCTGGCGTCGTCGGCCGCTGGGTTCGCTGCCCTCGTGCGTGCCATTGCCGACCTCTACGAGCTGCCCGACTCGCCGTCGCAGCTGAGCTTGATTGCCCGGCAAGGCTCCGGCTCGGCGTGCCGCAGTGTCTTTGGCGGCTACGTCGCCTGGCGCATGGGCGACAAGGCCGACGGCAGCGACTCACTGGCCGAGCAGGTGGCGCCCGCGTCCGCCTGGCCCCAGATGCGCGCCGTCGTGCTCGTCGTCTCGGCCAGCAAGAAGGGCGTGTCGTCGACGTCGGGCATGCAGCAGACGGTGGCCACGTCGGGCCTGTTTCAAGAACGCATCCGCACCGTCGTGCCCGACAACATGGCCAAGATGGAAAAGGCCATTGCGGCGCATGACTTTGCCAGCTTCGCCGAGGTCACCATGCGCGACTCCAACTCCTTCCACGCCACCTGCGCCGACACCTACCCGCCCATCTACTACATGAACGACGTCTCCCGCGCCGCCGTGCGCGCCATCGAGGCCATCAACGCCAAGGCCGGCCGCACCGTCGCCGCCTACACCTTTGACGCCGGCCCGAACGCTGTTGTCTACTACCTCGAGCAGGACGCCGATGTCGTGCTGGGCACCTTTTCCAGCGTCCTGGGTGCCGGTGTCGACGGCTGGAAGGACGGTGCCGCGCCGAGCACGGCCGCTGCCGTCGAGATGGACGCCACGGTCGCGTCGACGCTCAAGTCGGGTGTCAGCCGGGTCATCTCGACGGGCGTGGGCGAGGGCCCCATCAAGTCAGAGGAGCACCTGGTCGGCGAGGACGGTGAGCCTGTGAAGCGGTAAGACGGGCCGTTTGACTTGGGAGGATGGAAATACGACATACTTGTGGATTCATTACACTAGCGTTTTTACTGTACTTGTGGTTTATCCAGATGAAAATAAAATGGCACGATGCCCTCCATGCGCCTTACCTAAAGGCGTTGTGACGAGGCTTCCCGGTCGAGGTACACAATGGTAATATGTCATACCTTTCACCACTTTGAAAAGTGCAATCTCCAATCAAGTCCCTTCACCCGTAATGAACCACAATACCTAGCCCAGTATCTAGTACAGATGCCAGCGTACTGAAGCGTTCAGGTACCTAACTACATTCCCAACTGCGTCACCTCTAAGTAAATAAAAATGGGCCCTATTTGCGTAATGACGAGGTGGTCGCGACCAGTGTGCTGTCATTGTTACTACGGCGCATGTTTCGCGATGATTACAGGGCGGTTTAAGTGCTGATGGCATTCCCCGCGTCACGTGGACACGTTCCCCCAGTTTTCCAGAATCCATTGCATGTCGACGCGTAGTTTCGATTGGGGAAGGCAGTCACGACCGACGTCCGTTTTTTTGCATCGCACTTTCCCTATTCAGCTTCAGAGAGCGCAAGGTGCGAATGCCGCGCTGGCCTTTTCTTGCCTCGTTCGTTTTTGTAACATCTGCCATTTTGCATTCCTCGTCTCTACATCCACGCTGCATGCATCCTCAGCAGCCATAGCTCGTCGCCCTCTCACACCCCTTTTCATTCGCTAAGCCTTCCATCAGGGGCCGGGCTGGTGCTTCAATCATCAAAATACCCATCAACACTTATCCAGGTCCCTTTTCATCCCAGCGATATCCCTTTTTCACCTCCCTATTTTCATTTGCGCCCTTTTGCGTCCTTTTGCGTTCTTTGGCGTCCTTTTGCGTCCATTTGCGTCCATTTGTTTCCTATGTTGCGTTTGCCACTGGTCCCTTCTACGTGTCGCCGCTACGGACCGACGCCGCCGCCAAGATGAGCTCGACGGCCTACGACATCGACACGGCCGGCAACGTGCTGTGCACATACACCGACGTCAACGACCCCGAGAGGTTCAAGGCTGTATGTACTCTGTGGCCTTGTCTTTTCATCTCCTGGCAACATGCCTACTGACTTTGCCCCCCAGGAGCGAACCCATGTGCCACTCGGCAAGGCTGTCTTTTATGCCTTTCTGCCAGCCGGGTTCCCGCACAGCGTGACGGATGACTACCTGTCGTATCAATTGTACGACTCGCTGCAGGCGTTTTCGTCGGCCATCGCGTCGCTGCTAGCCAACCGCGCCGTGCTCGAGGGCCTGGGCGTCGGCAACGCGTCGCAGTCGCCCACAGGGGCGCTCGTGCTCAAGATCATCCAGGATACTTTCTCGCGCATGGCGACGATTTTGTTCGCGCACCGGATGGGCCAGGCCATTGAGCCCGAGTGCAAGACGTACCGCTTCATGGCAGACCTGTTTAACGACAGCGCGCTGCTGCTCGACCTGCTCACGCCGGTGCTGCCGTTTTTGCCCAAAGTCTGCGTCATGGTCGTCACCAGCATCCTGCGGGCGCTGTGTGGTATTGCCGCCAACGCCAGCAAGGCGAGCCTGTCGGCCCACTTCGCAAAGAGGGGCAACCTAGCCGAGCTCAACGCCAAGGAGGCGTCGCAGGAGACGGTCATCAGCTTGCTGGGCATGCTCGCGGGCTATGCCGTGGTGCACATGGTGCATGACCGCACGATGGTGCTGTACTGGATGGTGACGCTGGTCTTGGTGCACCTGTACATGAACTACCAGGGCGTGCGCTGTGTGAAGATGCTCACGCTGAACCGGCAGCGGGCGACGATTGTGTTCCGGGAGTACCTGGACTCGGGCCGCGTGCTGACGCCCTCGGACGTGGCCCAGCGCGAGAGCATCCTGCGCAACGTCAACGGGGAGATGGCGAGCAAGGACGGCGACTACACGGGGTCCTGCGAGCTGCGCAACTACGGCGACGTGATGACGAGCAAAACCTGGGGCTACCATTCGTACAAGTTTGAGCGGCCCGACTACTTCATGGGCGTGTGGCACTACCAGGCGCGGTTTTTCATTCGCATCGCTATGAAGGAGCACACACACAAAACCATTGGCCCGCTGCTTGCCTGGTTCGATGCCGTGGCGCACGCCTTCCATTTCAGTGCGGCCCTCAAGAACGGCCTCAGCAGCCACTACGAGAACGAAGGCCCCCACGGTTATGTGTCGGCGGAGGTCAAGGAGGGCTTGCTGGCGGCACTGCGCAGCGCCGGGTGGCACCTGGACGACGGGCAGCTGGAGACCAACAGCCCCGTCCGGGTGCGGACCGGCGGTGGCGGCGATATGAAGAGAACAGCGGAGCGGGGACAGGCCGCCGCTCCACCGGCCAAAGCCGACTAGGTCTTTCCGTGGATCGCCACCGGGACGTTGCAAAATGGTTTGGCTTGAGATCGGTCTTGAGGCCCCAGAACGACGGAGGACGGTTGGGTCGGTCGTCTGTTCACATTTTTCTCTTCTTGTTCTTGTTTTACGCTTTGTACTTTTGTCATGATATGAGATTTGTGTTTCTGCCCTGTACAATATACATTTGGGGGCGTGCGACCAGCGTATACAACGTTTTGTTGTCCGCACGCGCAACGCCGGTATCACCGAATTCTAATTTTTATACAGTCCAATACCCAATGCAAAAAGGAGCCGTCCGGCCATTCCTCATCCAAGCGTCTGAATGTGTTCGTGTCAAGTCCACCCCTTCTCCTACTGCAGGCCCAGGCCGCGCAGGGCACGCATCTTGACGCCCTCCCAGCTGTTCAGCTTCGGCCGCACGTCCAGGTAGAAGCTGACTTGCGGCTGGCCCGCATTGGGCGACGCAGCCGTGGCTCCTGTTGCTGCTGCCGCCGCCGCCCCCGGCCGCCCCGCATAAAAGTCAATCACGTACTCGACCTGCGTCCCGCAGCGGTCGACAACCCAGTCGTGCCGGTCAAACGGCGCTGTGTACCCCAGCAGCGTGTTGAGCCGCGCCTTGGGCGACATGCTGGTGCTGAGCCCCGCAAACGAGTGCAGCCGCGGACCGCCGCACTGGCCCGGGCCCGTGCCTGTGTAGGGCGCCTCCCAGGCCAAAATCTCTTTCCAGGCGCGCTCATTGACGGCGTTGTGGATGGGCACGACGACGCGCATGTCGGCGACGCGGGCGTTGTCGTTGCCCTTGCGCTTCATGGCCTCAAAGAACATCTTTTCGGAGGGGTAGACCCAGTTGCCGGAGACGGGGTCGGCGCCGGTCTCGACTTCATGGTTGACGGGGCGGCCGGCCGCCGGTGCCGTCTTGTCCTCGTCGGCCGAGGTGGTCGTGCGCGGGATCGAGGAGACTTCGCGGTCGGTGCCCAGGCCGCGGATGGTCGGGTGGCCCAGGGGCCGTTGGTGCTGTGACGGCGCGGCATGGGACGACGGAGCAGAGGAGGCGCTCGAAGGAGGCGGCGAGGGTGAGGGCGATGCCCAGAGGCTGGGCCAGCCGCCGAAGAAGCCGGACTTGGGCTGGGCAATTTGTGCAGGGACACTGGTCGTCGGCTGTAGTGAGATTTGTGTCTGTTTGGCCTCAGCCTGTTGTGCTTGTTGCGCCCGCGCTTGCTCAAGCCAGGCGTCTCTCGTCTTGTGGTCGACAGGGCAGACGGCTCCTTCGCCGGCTGTAGAGCCAGGGTGCCCGTTGGGAGACATTGTTGGTGTGTGCGAGTGTTTGTACGAAGTTGTCGTCGCGATGTGGATTTTTTTGGTCCGGTTGATTGGGGTCAAATGTCGTCAGCGCAACTTTTTGAGAGTTTTAGTCGCTTAGAGCGCTGGGTAGTGTCTGTTGGCGCCATTGAGGGGCTTGTGGCAGGCAAATCAGGTCTCTTTTCCATCGGTCCCGCGCAGTCGACAAAAATCATTTAATAAGCGGTTGTGATTGGTTCTCAGAAGAGGTGGTAGTACAACATCAACACGAATCTGTTGCATATAAATATTGAAAGTATTACTTTTGTCGTTTTCAAATCCGGATTTCATATTTTCTAAATATATACCGTTTTCGTTTCCGTAGCTCTGCCCGTCGTTTTAATTCCAGTCAATCCTTTTCCGAGTTTCCCTGCCAGAACATTGTCTCAAATCGTCACTCATAACGACGTTATCAGCACGCCTCTTCTCTACTCTAGCATCTTCTTCAGGACGGCCACCTGCTCCAGGACGCTCGCCTTGCTCGTGCCGCCCTGGGCCGAGCGCATCTCGACGCTCTTGTCGTAGTTGAAGACCTCGGCAATGTCCTTTTCGAAGCGCGCGTCGACGCTCTGCAGCTGCTCAAAGGTCAGCTCGTTCATGGGCGTGCCGGTCTTTTCGGACAGGGCGACGCACTCGCCGGAGATGTGGTGGGTCTCGCGGAAGGGCACGCCCTTGCGGACGAGGTAGTCGGCGAGGTCGGTGGCGAGCATAAAGGGGTCGAGGGCGGCGCGCATCTTGTCGGGCTGGGTGGCGAGGGTGGCGAGGACGCCCTCGGCGATCTGGATGCTGTCGGCGACGGTCTTGACGTGGTCGAGCATGGGCTCGACGGACTCCTGGAGGTCCTTGTTGTAGGTGCTGGGCAGGCCCTTGAGGGTCATCATGAAGCCGGCCATGTGGCCAAAGGCGCGGCCGGCCTTGCCGCGCAGCAGCTCGAGCGAGTCCGGGTTCTTCTTCTGGGGCATCAGCGACGAGCCGGTCGAGTAGGCGTCGGCGAGGCGCACGAAGCCGAACTCGGCCGTCGAGTAGACAATCAGGTCCTCGGCCCAGCGGGAGATGTGCTGCATCAGGGTGGCGCCCCACTGGAGGGTCTCGGCGACAAAGTCGCGGTCGGCGACGCCGCCCATGGAGTTCCACAGCAGGCCGTCGAAGCCCAGCTCCGCGGCCATGGCGGCGCGGTCGATGCCAAAGGGGTTGCCCGCCAGCGCGCCGCAGCCGAGCGGCGAGCGGTTGACGCGCTGGATGACCTCGCGCAGGCGCGCGAGGTCCGCCGCAAAGGCCAGGCCGTACGACAGCATCCAGTGGCTCCAGCGGATGGGCTGGGCGCGCTGCAGGTGCGTGTAGCCGGGCATGATGAGGTCGACCTCGGTGGCGGCGCGCTGGGCCGTCACCTGCAAAAACGAGACCAGGAACGCCTCAATCTTGCGCAGCTCGTCGCGCAGCCACATGCGCATGTCCGTGGCGATCTGCTCGTTGCGCGAGCGGCCCGTGTGCAGCTTGCCGGCCACGTCCTTGCCAATCAGCTCGCCCAGCCGGCGCTCGTTGGCCGTGTGGATGTCCTCGTCGACGCCGGGGACAATCTTGAAGGTGCCGGCCACCCACTCGGCCTCGACGGCCTGCAGCCCCGCGTCGATCTTGTCAAACTCCTCCTTGGTGAGGATGCCGGCGTGGAAGTTGGCGCGCGCAAAGGCGATGCTCCCCAGGATGTCCTGCTTGTGCAGCACCTGGTCAAAGTAGATGCTCTCGTTGTAGGCGACCATCAGAGGGTCGAGGCCGCCGGTGAAGCGGCCGCCCCAGAGCATGTTGGCCTGCTTCTGTTGGGATGCCATGGTAAAGGTTGTTGTGGCGGCGGTGTCGGAGGGTCACGTCGATAAGGGCCAATTGGCACGGAGGGTGCCGTAGAGAGGTCGTAGAGGGTGAATTCAATGCCGTCGGTGTAGATAGAAGCTGGAATATGTCAATTGGGACTGGGTAACTGGGGATTGGGTATCGTGAGCGAACACAAGAAGTGGACTTGTCGTTGGGGGAAAAGTCGGAAAGCAGCCCGCCAGCCTTGTGCACTTTGTTGAGTCACGTTGGAGCCATAAAAATTTTAGCGGCCGCAAGCGGCAGGAGCTATCGATAAGTGCTGTCATTGGCGGTGGAGCTCCATAGCAAGCGGCAGGTCTCCACAGCAAGAGTCGACTTACACCGACGACAGCCATCAAGCCATCGTCAAGAAAAGCATCAACACTTTGGCGAGTCTACGTTTTACGTAATTTTGAAATATTTTAGGAAGGTATGTCAATTTTATCTTAATTTATTATACAACTTTTCTCGGATTTTGGTCATGTTTAGTCACTAGCTACTGGGCGTTGCGATTAATTCGGATTCAAAATGTAAAACGATAAAAACAAATTATGGCCATTTTTTGGCGAGATCAATTCTTTAATTTGCGTTCCTGTTTATTACAAAATAGAACACATTGAATAAGAAAGAACAAAAGGAAATTAATATCTCGGAGACGAATATGCCAACACATGTTTCAAGCCCGTCAACAGAGCTAGTTGGCTAGCATCACCTCCACACGATGAACAGTAATGGATAGCCACGAGATATGAGGAGGCGACTGTCCCACTCGCCGCGTGATGGGTCGAGCTACCTCAGATTCTGGAGCCGACGACGAGAGTAGTCTGTCAGTATCCGAGTGTACGATATATGTGGCTGGCATGCTGTTCTCCTTACGCTTGCTTGAGTTCGGATCCAGCGTTGTTTGCCTCGTGCAACTATCACCACCTGCACATCTAACGCCTCACGACATGCCCGGCGACCAGATCGAGCAACCCTGTTTGCGTGCCCAGCATCACGAGTGCCTCGACGATACATTCACATACCCCCAGTTTGACTACAACACGTCCATCACGTATCAGCGTGTCCCTCTCGCCTCTCTCTTTGCGGCTCTATGATGCACTGTGCGTTTGTTAATGGCGGCTCAGCCTGCATCAGAATCTCCTTTCTTTAAAAAGAGGGCCGACGTCCCACGACCACTTTTAAAGACACTGGGCCATCTTTCCATGAGGACCTCACGGCCGTCTCCCGCGCGTTCAAGACGTACACCATTATGCGGTACACACAGCACTACTGCCTACCCGAGCTGCAGGCGTGTGTGCCCCAACTGGGCGTTGCTGTCCTCTACTGCGACGCGTGGACGACCATGTGAGTGTGCGACTGGGCGGACATGGTGTCGGTCCACGCCAGCGACGACTGCAAGGGGATGGCGGCGGACTGCCGGCGATGGCCGGGCACTATGTGATTGTGGTCGGAGGACCGGTACCGGGCATGGACGGGGCCACCGGGCGGGGTTCTCATGAAACGGGGTTGAGATGCCAAACTCTTGTAAGTTGTGTCGTCTCCATCTTGATCATCTCTGGCATTTCGGCCCAGACGGCGCTGCTCTGGAATAACTGCAATTTCGTTATCCACCTAGCTTGCTAAGCATTGCATTCACAAAGCTTCTTTTTATGCATCTTGGCAAAATAAGTCTTGTACAACGAACTGGCACGGACTGGCGGTGGTTGTTCCTCTGCGTGTTTCATCTTTTCGATGCCGTTGGCTATTTTTGACCTGGTATGGTCTCTCTCTGCCCGCAGATGCTCCAGTGGGGTCGGCGGCTACTGCCGGCACTGGCGATCCACGGACTGGGGCCTAACAAGCGCTGGATGCTGAGGGCCAATCGTTTGCGGGCAGTCCTGGATGACCGCGACAACAACCGCCAGCAAGGGTAGGCAGTCTCGCAGTGTCGTGCCCACGCTCGCCACGGTCGACCTTTTGGTTTCCCCATTCGTTTGCATCGCTGCTCCCGTTTTCGCCTCTGGAGGCCGCCGCCGCTGCCTCCGTTTTTCCTGATCGCATGCAGACGGAGTGATGTTGGCAGGTATCGCGAGACCAAGTTATGCAAGTTTTGGACGTTTTCTTGTATTTTGTTTCTTCTTTCCGCAACATCATTCTGCCCAGACTCGGTTAGAATCGCTCGGTGCTGCGCTGGACGGAGGACGCGATGTTGTCGCCGGGTGGTGAGTGTACCAAAGGCGGTAGCATTTGGCATTTCCTTGCTTTTTGGTCAGTAAAGACGGGAGAGGCCTGTTTCCTCAATGGGCTATGAGGCTGGTTCCGTCGTTTGAATGGAGGAATGACTCGCACTAGCGGCCCGTCATTGGCTCTGGCACTAGAACAGGGGGCACAGGCCACTGGCGGGGATGCTCTTGATTCAATGGTCGGGACTGACTGCTGTGGATTGGTTGGACGGGACTGGCCTAGCTTTGTTGTGCCCTGAAACGCCACCACAAATCGCAAGAAAGACGTGAGAAAAAGGCCAACGAGAAGAAGAATAAGAAAGAAACGCGAAAGCGACAAAGAAGACACCCACGACAAAGCCAAGAAAAAGCTAAGCAATGCCAAGGCAAGCGACCATGACCGCGACTGATGCCTTTTGATCTCAGAAGCGCCAGGCATACGAGACCCCAGCGAGCTAAGCAGCGAGGCACCTGCCACGGCGGGCGACAATCGCTCCAGACGACAGGCCAGGACGAGTTGATCTGATCAAGGAGCATAGATCTAAACAGCACCTGCGCACCTATTCTGCACTGCCTCACTGCTTGCTTCTCCACTGCAGCGAGTGGCAAGAATGAAGTTGTGAAGCCGTGAAGCCATGGAGGACAGATGTTGTCGGCTCTGACTCCTTAGACCTGTCTTCTCTCTGTCTTTGTCTCTCCGACTGTCTCGCATATTGCTGCTCCTCGTCACGGCATGGGTATTCCTAAATCAACACCAAGCTTCCTGTACCAAGCCTCCTCTGATGCAATTCAACGTAGTCATAAAATGGGGGCCGAAAACAACAACGGCGTCATATATCGGAAGAGAAGATTCTAACGAACCCGGATCCTTAGAAAGCGTCAGTGAAAAAAGACCCACTCGTTCCGCTGTCTCGGTAGGCGCTGTGAAAGGGTCAACTTCACCTCAAAATAGATTTTCCCCAGCGCAAAATAAGGCTGCTCCTCGCTAAAACGGACGGCTACGTACGCTGATTGGCCCCCCCACTTACATTGTGGCCTGCCAAACAACGGCCCAGAGGCCATCCTTTATTGAGTCCCATTGTTGTCTCTCTTTGTCGTGCCATTGACGGCCTCAAACGCTCAAACGGACAACGGATGGCAACGGGGGATGTTTGATCCTATTCAGACCCCTTTGGATCTCATTTCTGACTCGTGCCTGGCGCCTACCGCCGCCCGAATGACCCAAAACGCCAAATTGACAAAATGCGCTGTGGTCCAAACAAGCAAAAGCCAGGGGCCTCTCCATCCTCATCCTCCGCATGCCACTCCATACCGTCTGCGCATCGACCACGATGGCCCGTGTAGTCGCTTCTATTTCTCGCCCTTCATGTGTCGTGTTGTGTCGTCTCTGTTTGCTGCGTTCCTATCCCCTCGACGTCTCTTGTTTTCCTATTTTGTCTCTTCATATTTCCTTTCTTCCTGACCTTTCTTCTATTTCTTTTATCCCCCCTTCTTCCTCATCCGTCCTTTCGTCTTCTTCCCTGTTTTGCCCCCGTCATATACCTGGTTATATGCACCTCACCTTATTCACGGCTCTGGCCCTGCACCCTCCCCACCTCTTCACCATTGCAGCCTTTCCATAGAGGCGTGCCTTTTTATTGTCTGCTGGCCAGTTGATTCACGTCTTGCAAGGGTCATCTTCTTCGTTGTTCTCTCTCCTGGTTATTCTTTATATTATTATCTTTGTTATATCCTTTTTCCTCTTCCTTTGATTTTCTCTTTGACGGCCTCTTTCTTCCTCTATTTACATATCCTCTTCCAGTTGTTTTCTCCTTCACCCATTTTGTTCTTGGTTTGATACCACACTATTTTTAATACTCTATTATTTGCTGCATTATTTACTTCTTTTCTATTTCATTGTTACAAGTTCACTTGCATGAACGGGCACCGCATAGACGCCACCGCAAACACCACGAGCGTTCTTAATACCTTCACGGTCCAGACCCGTTTGCTTCGTTTTCTTCTCCTTTGAACCAGTTCTCTCGACTAGAAACGACGTACACACAAATAATCATCTCCACACAAGCATCACGACATCTATACACCGACACACAATCCGGGACACACTCCCAACTACACTCTTTCTCATCCTCTTCTCCTTCGTCCCCGCCCACTCTTACACACACCGCCACGAACATGGGATTCCTTCGAGAAAAACCGGACGCTCAGCCCTATCCTGACGTGCCGCCCAGCCTCCGCGATGACTCGTTTGAGATGCAGAATTTCAAGCTCGGCAACCAGGCCGGGGCGGCCGGCCCGCCGCCGCCGCAGTACGACTCCGCCGGCAGCATCACCCCCTACCTGGGCCTGCGGGCCCGCCTGTCGCAGATCTGGTTCAACCGGTGGACCATCCTGCTGGTGCTGGTCCTCATCCGCGTGCTGATCCTCATCAGCGGCCTCCACGGCAACATTGACGACGCGCAGGCGCAAGCGCTGGCGGCGTGCACCAAGGTCGAGGACGTCGGCAGCGCCATGGCGTCGATGCCGCATTATCTGAGCGTGGGCGTCAACGACCTGGCCGCGAATGGCATCTCGCAGACCGTGCAGGGCCTGGTGGCGCTGCTGGGCATGATCCTGACGGGCGTCGAGCAGCTCATCATCTTTGTCATCAACTTCTACATCGGCACCTACGTCTGCCTGTCGTCGGCCCTGATCCACGGCGGTCTGGACGTCGGCATCGGCGCCGCCAACGAGGCGACGGACCTCATGAACACCGCCATTGGCAAGATCACGACGACGCTCAAAAGCGACGTCAGCGGCGTGCAGGACGCCATCAACTCGGCCTTCTCGACGATTGCGTCGGCGTCGAGCATCTTTGGCAAGACCATCACGCCGCCGACACTCGACCTGTCGGGTCCCATCGATGACCTGTCCAATATCCACATCGACGACACGAGCTTCGTGCAGACGCTGCAGTCGCTGAACTCGACGATCCCCACCTACGACGAGGCCGAGAACTTTACCAAGAACGCCATCAGCATCCCCTTCAACGCCCTCAAGACCGTCCTCAACAACACCTACGGCGCCTACACCTTCGACACCTCCGTCTTCCCCGTGGCCAAGAAGACGCCGCTCACCTTCTGCTCGGGCAACGACAACATCACCCAGTTCTTCACCGTGCTCTACGACATTGCCGATCACGCCAAGACGGCCTTTTTGGTTGTCCTGGTGCTGCTCGCCGTCCTCGCCTGCGTGCCCATGGCCTTTATCGAGATCCGCCGCTGGCGCAGCCAGCAGCGCCGCGCCAAGGTGCTCGCGCAGCACGGCTTCGACCCGCTGGACGTCGTCTACATTGCCAGCCGGCCGTACACGGCGGGCTTCGGCATCCGCGTGGCCAGCCGCTTCTTCCAGGCCGGCAAGCGCCAGCTGCTGGCCCGCTGGGCCATTGCCTACGCCACCAGCTTCCCGGCCCTGTTTGTGCTGTCCCTGGCGGCCGCCGGCTTCTTCTCCGTCGTCTGCCAGTCGATCCTGCTGGCCGCCATCCAGAAGGAGGCGCCCGCGCTGACGTCCGAGGTTAGCGGCTTTGCCGACGACGTCGTCGCGACGCTCGAAAACGTGTCGACCACCTGGGCCCACGACGCCAACGGCGTGCTGCTCAATTTCCAAAACGAAATCAACAACGACATTCTCGGCTACGTCGTCAACGCCACCACGGCCGTCAACCACACGCTCAACGTCTTCACCGCCGAGATCAGCAGCGGCATCAACGCCGTCTTCAACGGCACCGTGCTCGACAACACCGTCCAGCAGATTGTGCGCTGCCTCATCGGCATCAAGATTGAGGCCGTCGAGGAGGGCCTGACCTGGGTCCACGACCACGCCCACGTCACCCTGCCCCTCTTCCCAAACGACACCTTCTCCGTCGGCGCCAAGGCCTCCATCACCAACGACTCGTCGCTCACCTCCTTCTTGGCCGACCCGGGCAGCGTCACCAGCGACGACATCACCGCCGCCGTCGACAAGGTCGTCACCGCCCTGCGCAACAGCGTCGTCCAGGAGGCCCTCATCTCCACCGGCCTGCTGCTCGTCTACGTCGTCGTCGTCCTCGTCGGCATGCTCCACGCCATGACGGGCATGGTGCGCCCGGACAAGACGCGCGGCGACGGCGGCCAGCGCTTCTATCCGACGCCGGGCGACTTGGACGGTGATCCGACGAGCAGCAGTACCAGCAACAACGGCAACGGCAACGCCCGGAGCGTGGCCCCCGCCAACACGGCGGCCGCCTTCTTCCCTCGCTTTGACGGCGGCGCCGAGACGGCGGCGGTCGACGACGCCACAGCAGCGCAGCTGCGCGATGAAAAGTTGAGCGCGCGACGAAACATTCCCGGGAGCAGTGGCAGTGGCAGCAGCGGCGGCAGCATGTCCACCGCCAGCGTCGGCGGCGGCCGCCGCGTCGTGTTTGAGAAAAAGGGCCACTGGCGCGGCAGCAGCTACGGCGACGTGGGCGACGCAGGCGGCCGCTAGGACCGGCCGCCGCAGTATGCGCCGCGCGAGCCGTCGCCCGTCGGGCCGCCACAGAGGCAGGCACACCGACATGCTCACAGACACGCGCACCTGTACGTGCCACCACCATACGAGGCAGAGTTCAATGTGGCCGTCGTGCCAAGGCAGCTGTGCTGACCTTTCCGTCGTCTTCCATTTCGTTCATTCTCTTCCTTTCCTTCCTCACTACCAGTAGATGGATACCCTGCATGTGCAATGGATTGGGCCATTTTTTGTATGTATTCTCTGTTCATTTTCTTTTGTCACGCATGTTCTCTTCTTTCTCACGTCATTTTCTGTCCCTTTGTTTACACTGTCTTGCCGGCGTTCTTCCAGGATACAGGCACAGGCGTTTGGACATCATGTACCGCATTTCGCTCTTAATACAAACAACCACATGACTTCGTATGCAACCCAGTAAACTTTGTGTGAACGCGTCTTTGTGATTTTGGTATTCGTACAGTATGCTACAACACAAGCCTTCTACCCCCCTCCCTATGACGACTTTTTGCCGTCCGTCTCCGCCATGAAACCCTCTTGTGGCGCCATGTCAAACAGGGCCTCCTCGTCAATCATCCGTTGCGTCTCCTCCGTCAACAAGCTGTCCTCCGCGATGTCGTGTTCCAAGAGGGCCCGGGCCGCCTCTGCCGCCGCCTGCGCCGCCTCCAGCCCTTCCTCTGGCAGACCTAGCGTCACCCGCTGCTGCCGGAACTGTTCCTGGACCGTCGGCGTCTGCATGATCCGCCACCGCAGCCGCCACCCCCACGGCCCCAGCTCGGCAATCCGCGCCGGCTTCGACCCCAGCAGGTACGCGTCCAGCCCGCCCACCTTGTCAATCGTGCGCAGCACCCGCGTGCTCACGCGCGTGCGGATCGGCACGCCCAGCGACGCCGAGAACAGCCGCTTCTCCTGGATGTTGGGCCACCACTTGCGGCGCACCTTTTGCGGGTTGATGACCTCCGTCTCGCGTGACACATTGTTGCCGAACCGGATGCGCGCGTTGCCGTAGAGGCCCTTGTTGGACTGCTTGAAGAGCTGGCGCGGGCCGAGCGGGTACGGCGGAATGTCGGGGCGCTTGGCGGTGGGCGAGGGGATGGGAGGGCCCTCGGCGGGGACTTGCTGCTTGTAGGAGCGTATCTGTTGGGTGCCGGTGGTCTGTGTAGCAGAAGAGGTCTGGGAGAGGCGGAGAGAGGCGGCGAGGAGCGAGCAGGAGGTGGGAGAAGACGTCGAAGAAGACGAAGCAGAAGCTAATGGTAACCTCTGGCCGGCGCGGGCGACAGAAAACGGTGAGGGCACCATTGTCGCTGGGGTGTGAGGCAAATGGCGAGGATGCAGTCGTTGTGTCCTCTGACAGACTACGGTCGTTTGCGGAGCGCGTTGCGACGTCGTCGGTCGTGGATGTTTGACTGCCACGTCTTACCGTTTCGACGTTCCGTTCGTCGTGCAATTGAGAAGCTCTTGAAAATTTATGGTGGTGTCGCGCGCGCCATTCAGTGGTCGCACATTATTGGCCACATTGACCCATATGGACCCACCAAGAATTTGCCGGTCCGACAGGGCCCCGCTAACCAGCTGTACAGCGTAAAGTCGGCTGTTTTCGACTACACGTCCCCTATTCGCGGAGACGATCATGAACAGAAGTGAATGTGGACAATAACATCTGTTCAAAAAACCCGGGAAAACTGTCACGCATAGTTGACATCGCTACCATGCTTCCTCCAGTGGACGAGGCGGTTCTGCGGAACAACCCAGACTTTGCTGCGCTCTACAAAACGCTCACAACGGTGATCCTCAATCCGGATGGATCAACAAAGGCACATGTCAATGCAAAGGAGCAGGCGGCCATTAAAGAGGTACGTGGCCGGTGCTCTGTACATTTCCTCACAGTTCTGTTTTCTAGAATCACCCCATTGACGCCCCCCACTCTCTTAGAAAGCAAAAGAAGCGCGGTTACGAGCCGCCAAGAACCACATCCTTGTTCAGGCCATCTCTAGCATTGCCGCACCGCCTCCGGCATCCGAGACTGCGGGTGCAGCGGAGGGAAAGATTGGTGGTGCCGCAGCTCGCCGAGCTGCGCGTGCTGGTACCGTTCCCCGGCCGGCACCGCTCGTGCCACCACCCAAGCCGGCCAACGACCTGCCGCCCGACCTGGTGGACCTGCTGATGCTTCTGCCGCCACTCTTGCAACTGGCCAATGGGCCAGAGTCGTCGTCTTCTTCGGCGTCGACACTCTCCGGCGAAGACGTCGAGCTGCTCCTGTCTAGCCCCCCCTTCACATCACTCCCCCAACACCTGCCGCGCATTGCCAGCCTTGTGTCCGAGAACCTGCAGACCGCCGCCCGCGGCCTGGCCCGCGTCATGAACCCGACCACCAACCCGTCGTACCTGCACCGCGCCGTGCCGGGCTTGCCTGCCCAGGTGGTGGCCCTACAAAAGGCCATTGTGGACACGCGCATCAAGCTGGCCGCGGAACGGCACGCCACCGCCACCGCTCTGTTGGCGCTGCTCGACCTCCACGCGGCCAACCTCACGAGCCTCATCCGCGCCCTCGAAGCCAAGCACGGCCCCGTGGCGCGGTCGCTCGAGCTGCGGGCGGCCGAGGTATCCCTGGCGGCGCAGGCCGGTGACGTGGACGCCCAGGCCACGAGGGCGGCGGCCGTACGGACCGTGTATCCCCCGGAGGCGGTGACGGCGCTGCGCAACTACGCGAGCCACCTGCGCGACAGCAAGATGCGGTTGGAGGAGACGATCCGCGAACGCAAGGCGTTGCTGCGGGAGTACGGGATCGATGTGGATGCGGACGACGGCGAAACGGACGAAAAGACCAAGAGCAAGGGCCGTACCATGCGTGAAATGGCACGGGTCTACCGCGAGATGGGGCAGCAGGTGGAGGACGTGCGAAACGACCTGGCACGGCTGGGCCGGTCATGACGAAACTGAACTGCAATACGTTGCAATACGTGCACCAAATATGACTTACGACTTGGACGACAGACAGATACGACGGAATGACATGGATACGGGACTCTCTAGGAAGGCGTCGTGCCACAGACCGCACGACTGTATCAGCAGGCGGTGACAATGACGCAAGGTGGAGGAGAATGGTGTTGGGTCATTGATAGTCCTTTCCAAGTGACAAAGGAAATAATAGAAACACGAACAAGCACAAAAATACAGAGACGCCTCCAAATCCGTGACTCATAAATAGTTTTTTTTTTTTGTATTTCGTTTCTCACTGTTGTTCCCACTCCCATATCTTTCGTTCGTTGTGCCATTCTAGATCTACTCCTTTTTTGATACCGCTTTTAAATCATGTAGCCGCCAAAACGATCTTCCAGGCCGCCGACGACAGCTTATCTACTCTATTTTGAAACGACAAAAAGGAAAGAAGGTGGACAACCGAGGAGGAAAATAGCCGCTTAACCAGTGACCTTGAAGATGGCCTCGGCCAGGCGGCCGACGTTAGCGCTCGTGATGCCGGCCACCGAGATGCGGCCGTCCTTGGTGGCGTACACGGAGTGCTCCTTGGCCAGGGCGTCCATCTGCTCGGGCTTCAGGCCCGTGTAGGCAAACATGCCAATCTGGCTCGTAATGTGCGACCAGTCGTGCTTGCTGCCCAGCGCCTCGAGGTTGTCGCGCAGCAGCTTGCGCATGGCAATGATGCGGTCGGCCATGCCCTTGACCTCGCCCAGCCACTGCGCCTTGAGGGCGGCGTCGCCCAGGATGGTGCCGGCGATGCGCGCGCCGTGCACGGGCGGGTTCGAGTAGAGGGGCCGCACGAGGATCTTGATCTGCGAGTCGACGCGCTTCGCCTCGGCGGCGTCGGCGCAGACGACGCTAAAGGCACCGACGCGCTCGCCGTAGAGGCCCATGTTCTTGGCAAACGACTGCGACAGCACCGGCTGGTGGCCCTTTTCGACAAAGTAGCGCAGCGCAAAGGCGTCCTTGGTGGCGTCGCCCGACGCGAAGCCCTGGTAGGCCATGTCGAAGAAGACAAAGTGGCCGGCGGCCCGGGCGGCCGCCTCGATCTCGACCCACTGCGCCTCCGTGGGGTCGACGCCCGTGGGGTTGTGCGCGCAGGCGTGCAGCATGAAGACGGAGCCCTTGGGGGCGGCGCGCACGTCGGCCAGCAGGCCCTCAAAGTCGAGGCCGATGGTGGCCGGGTCGTAGTAGCGGTACTTCTTGACGGTCAGGCCGGCGTCGGTGAAGACGGCGTTGTGGTTGGCCCACGAGGGCGTCGGGATGTAAATCTCCTTGGGCCGGTCGGCGCCGCCGGGGTAGAAGCGTTCGAGGAAGGCCGCGCCGATGCGCAGGGCACCCGTGCCGGAAATGGACTGGGTGATGGCGATGCGGCCGAGGGCCGGGCTGTCGGCGCCGTACGCGAGCTCGGCAGCGCCCTTGGTGAAGTCGGGCAGGCCGGTGATGCCGGCGTACTCCTTGTTGAGGCGCTGGGCAATCACCTTGTCCTCGGCGGTCCGGACGGACGGCAGGACGTACGGCTTGCCGGCATCGTCGCGGTAGGCGCCGACACCGAGGTTGATCTTTTCTGGGAACGAGTCGGCCTTGAAGGCTTCCGTGATGCCTGGGAAGAGTTAGTCGTGTGGGGAGCAAAGAGGAAAAGAGACGAAGAGCGTGGGGACCAGGGGCGAGCTGGGGCCAGTTCTTACCGAGAATAGCCTGTCAGCGGCAGTAAGCGAAGCACAGCGACTGGATCAGCAACATGTACCACAACGGCCAAAAGGCACCACCCACAGCGCAGGAATCTGCCGACGCGATGCCGAAGTAGAGGGGAGTTTGCGTCTTTTCCGAGGTTGAAGGTTGAACGAGGCAAAACAACTTACATCCTAGAGTATAAATGTTAGCCCATGTCCTTGTGCATTTGCTGTATCTGTTTTCGTTTGGTTTCTTTTTGTTTGAGTTGTTTTCTTTTCTTTTCTTTTCCTCTTCTTTTCATTCCTTTATGACTTCTTCTCTCGTTGTTTTCTTCTTCTTCACTTCCATTCTTCCACACACAATTCCTCAACTTACCGGAGGACCTTGGGGCACGTTGGCCCACGACGAAGCAAAGCGACCGGCAGGCACCGCAACAGCACCGGCGCGCCGGCTGGCGACACCGGCCTGGCGTGCCGACAGTCTCAGGACAGACAGCATTGTGTTGTGAAGAGGAGGGAGGCCGACACGGGGGGAAGAGTCGAAGGGTGGAAGTCGAGAGCGATGTCGAAAGACGGAGGAGGAGGAGGAAGAAGACAAAAAAGATTCAAAAATCGAAACGGCTCGCGCGGCTGGATACAGTCACAGCGACTGGAAGGGAGCACAGGCAAATAAAGGGTTGCGAGGAAAAGGGAGAGAAAGAGGAACTAGAGAGCAGCGGAGAGAACCGGACTGCGGAGCAGCAAGCTAAAAACCGCAAAAGAAGCGCGTGAGTCGATCGTAGATGGTGCAGGATATGACAAGTGTGGGCAGAGTGGGCGTAGGAATAGTGGAAATGTGGACTGTGGGATGCTGTGGTGTTGCAAAATTGACTCAGAATGCTGCAGAAAGAAGAAAAAAGAAAAAGAAAAAAAAGAAAGAATGAGGCTGTAGCGGGCGAGGGCGGAACACATGTCACAGGGCACCCCACACGGATAAAATGCCCCCAAAGCAGCTGGAAACCCCTGAAAAGGCGCGCCAAGCAGCGTCGCAAAAGATGGAAACAGCGGCTGGTCGCAAACGACAGCCCCTCCGAGCCAAGTCCGAGCCTGTGTTGTGTTGACTTTTAGCGGGTCGCTGAGCGGATTGGCCAATGACTGCTTGTGCCGCGCAGCAAGAACGGCCCATGTGGGGGTTCACGGGAGTCGGTGAGTGCAAAGAAGTGCGGGCAAAAAGCGCAGCTTGTATGACATGGAAAGCTCTACGATATATCGCATAACCGCCCCGAAAAGAGAACGAGCGACAGCCAAGCAACGACCAAAGAGGCAGACGGCGGTGTCGGACTATGGCGGACACTGCCAAACCGGGCGGTAAGGAGCCTTTAAGTCCTCTGCTGGAGACTTCATCCTTGCTTCTTCAAGGAATTCCGCTTCTGCATCGTGATGGCGCAACCGTCGATTTATCCAGACCAAACAGGGGCCCAGCTTGACCCTGGCAACGATTCCCCTCTCAGTCGACTCCACATCTCACCCCAGGGGGAACCATGCCTGGTAATCCCGAAGAGTGCAAGCGGACTTTGGCATCCGGAACTCGGACAACTCTCAATGGAGCAAGTCGTGTGTTGATAATCAGAATGGAACAAGCCCAGGAGAAACTGGATATGTGGTTGTACCCCGACGTTCAAACCCCGCCGCCTACCTCATCGGATATTTCTACGTACATGTACAGATCGGACAATCGGTTTCATCCTGCATTAACATCACGAAGCTCTAACCCCGCCGGAAGGCACGCCGACCTCCGATCCACGTCTCCTCGATGCCCACCGATGCCACCAGCCGGCTCGCCTCGACCGTCCGCGGGTCCGTGTCCAGCACCACAAAGTCGGCCTTCTTGCCGGGCTCCAGCGAACCCACCTCGTCCAGCCGCCCCAGCTGGCGCGCCGGGTTGTATGTGATGCCCGCAAACGCCTGCTCGACCGAAATGCGCTGGTCCGGCCCCAGCACGGCACCCGTCGCCTCCAGCACCCGGCTCGCCGCCGTCTCCACATACTGCAGCGGGTTGGCCTCGCTGATGGGCGAGTCGCTGTGGAACGAGTAGGTCACGCCGGCGGCCACGGCGTCGGCGACCGGGTCGAGGCGGGCGGCCCGCTTCTGGTCCAGCACGTACGTCGCAAACGCGTCGCCCCAGCGCCGCACGTGCGCAATCAGGTGCGACACGCCGAGCCCCAGCTGCGCGGCGCGCGCCAGCTGCGGCGGCGCAATGTCGGCCGTGACGTGCTCGAGGCGGTGCATGTGCCGCTTGCGGCGTAGCTTGCCGGCGCCGCTGGGGCCCCCATAGACGTCCGTGGCCACGGCTTCGGCCGCCAGCACGCGCGCAAACACGCGCAGGGCCTGGTCAAAGGCGCGCGCGCCGTTGGTGTGCATCACAATCTGCCAGCCGCCGCGCACAAACGGCTGCACGAGCGCCACGACGCGGTCGTCGTCGGGCGGCGCGTCGAGAGCGTGGCCCTGGCGGAAGTTGAGGATGCCGTAGTTGTCGGGCTGGCCGCGGTATGGCTCGTACACGGCGGCCGTGAAGCCCTGCGTGGACCCGTCAAGCCACAGCTTGAGGCCGTACACGGCCCCGGCCGCCTCGCCGCCGTCGGCCGTCAGGTGCCACGGCGGCAGACGCAGCAGGTCGGCCACGGGCGCGAGGCGCTCGACCGTCTGGTAGGCCACGGCCCCGTGGAAGCGCGGCAGCACAGGCGTGTCGGCATCGGCGTCGGTGACGGCGCTGGGCAGCGTGTTGCGCTCCAAAATCTGGCGCAGCAGGGCGAGGTCCGCGAGCCCAGCCAGCGTCCCAATGCCGCAGTCAAACGCCGTTGTGATGCCCTTGCTGGCCCACCGCTGGAGGATGCGGCGCCCGCCGGCCACGGTGTCCGCGGCCGTTGGCTTGGGTAGGTTCGTCCCGAGCGCCAACACGGCGTCTTCAAACAGCAACCCCGTCAGTGCGCCGTCCTCGGCCCGCTTTTGGTAGTTCTCGTCGTCGGCCGGGTAGCCAAGCTCGCCGGGACGCTTACCCACGCCGAGCGCGCGGAAGACGACCGAGTTGACGTACGCAATGTGGCCCGACTGGTTCAGGACATAGATGGCCGTGTCCTGCGCGCCGTCCCCTGACACCTCGTCCAGCAAGTCAATGGTCAGGTCCGGGTGCTCCGCCACCAGGGACGGGTCAAAGCCGTAGCCAGCAAGCCATTGCACCTGAGTCTTCTTCTCCTTGTTGGCGTCGGCGCTGGCATCGGCTGCCGTTGCCGCCACGGCGTGCCGCAGTTTGTCCAGCGCGTCCTGCTGCGTCCGCACACCGGGGAACGTCAAGTCAACAAAGCGCTTCTCATCCGTCATCAGAGCCGTCATCAGCAAATGGACGTGCGGGTCGATGAAGCCGGGCGTGATCACGCGGTTCCCATAGTCGACTTCGCGGATGCCCTCCGTGCCCACGGCGGCCCGCACGTCATCGAGCGAGCCCGTCGCGACGACTGTGTCGCCGCGGATTGCGAGCGCTTCGGTGGCATTAAACTTGCCGGCCGCGAGCGTCAGGACGGTCGCCTTGAAGATGATTGTCTCCAGCGGCAGCGGGCTTACTGTCGCTGTCGTCGTAGTCGTCGTAGTCGTTGCTGGAGTGTTCGTCGCCGTCGCTGTTGACGAATCCGGCGCTGGCGTATTTGTAGTCCACCTGTTGTTTGGTGTTTGTCCAGTAGTGCTCACCACTGAGTCGTCCGGTGCGCTGACATTTGTGTCCTGAATTGATTCGCCAGGAACGTCCCGCCCCTGGCGGATCGATGCGACAATAAGCTTATCCACCTCGGCCGTCGAAACGTCCGGGATCAGCGCCTTGCTGAGCTGGTCAACGCTGTCACCACACATTTCGTAATTCGTGGTTGCGTTCGTAGTGATTTTTAGTAACTGGACTTCCCTTGCAACCGCCCCAGTCTTGTAAGAAGTCCTTTGTGATTTATTTATTTATTTTTTCAACTTTCTTTTGTTCTCTTCCACGTTTTCTATTTCTGTCTTTAACCTTCTCGTCGTCTGCAAGAAGATCACGCTCTCTAAAGTACATATGGCGTCGCGAGCACGCAATCATACTTAAATCGTAAATCTAAACGCGGGCGGAGTAGCACATGTCATGTAGTATGGGTCAATTCGGGTAGGATAGGATGTGGGGGAACTCGCTGGCCGCATAGGGTAAATGAAAGCTTTGATGTGGGGGGACACTCGACGGTTTGAACGCCGTCTAGCCAGTTTTACAGGACACGGCGTCTGGTGATGCTTCCGGGGCGAAGGCCGGACAACGGATGCCGCGAATTCGTTTATTTCCCCGCGCGGGGGAAGAGTGTCACAAAACTTTAGTCACGCAAAAAAAACCGCCGAAAGCCGAAGTTGACATGCCATATTACTATAAATCATACTTGTACTCAGTAGTTAGTACGAGCTCCTCGGAAGCTCACAGTTTCGCCGTGATGGAAATTTACATACTACTTACCGAGTATGCAATGCTAGATAGGCATTTAAAAGCATGTGTGAAAGCGTATGCAGTAGAAGGCATACATAGAAGAGTATCGCGTGGATACGCTACGGCGATGCTGTGTCTGCAAACCAGAGGTGTGCCGGGGTGCGAGTTGCCGCGCTGGGAGCCGACGACTACCTCGTCCGCCGTCTGCGCCAACCTGCTCAACTCCGACGCCACCGCCGGCTCCGGGTCTGCGAGTCAACGACGGCAGTGGCTTCCTCTGCACCATCAACGGCAACAACTACTACGGCTGGCGCGACTCTGTCATCAGCGGCATTTACGGCCTTTAAGGTATGGCTGGTCTTTGCCCTTATAAAGCTGCGAATCAAAGGCCCCCAAGAAGGCCAAGTAAACTGGACAGCATGCGTTAAAGACACATTGTCGTTGATAGTCAATCGTTTATGACCTTTGCATCACTTTCTCTTTCTCTCTTTTCTTTTCTTTGTTTTATCGGCAAACATGTTTTCATACTTTCCTTGTGCTGTTTTCTGTCTTCTTCACTTGTCATTCCGCCCGCATTTGCACTGTAACAAGCGCGTCATACCATGCACATACATGGACGTACATTTTAGAATTTTGTTATAGTATACGTTGGAAAGCCACACATACGACAGTCAATAAATATTTTATGCAAAGGGACAGGACTCTGAGCAAAATCTTGGACCGGTTTATTATTTATCCCTTCTTTCTCTTCTTGCCCTTTTCCGTCTCCTACTTCGACCAGAGTACCCCTTTCAGATATGGTCCGAGTCAGAGCACGCACAATATATAATGGAACACCGCTCACCTTTTCTGGGTCACAAAGTGCTTCTCGCAAACAATCACCGCCCCCCTGCACCGTGGCTTGTGGGTCATTGCGATCTCCATCAACGGTAAGTAGTTGAAAATCACCACGATGCACTGCCATTCACCGCCGATAAATACAATGGTCTAGACCTTGAGCACCCGGGCACCTCACGCACAGCACAGACTTCAGAGTCAACGATCTGTAAAACACTCCCCCGGCCGTAAACAGTCCCCTGGATATAGATGCCGCGCGTTCTTTGTATCCGCTAAGCTGCATCCGTGATAGCTGCCGACTTAACGCCCAGCGAAGACACCACGTTTTCTTGGCGATCTGCGCGTGCATCTAAGACAATCGGCATGAGTCGACTTCGCTAGCGACGACGTCGACGAGACGACGTTCAAGATAGACGTGCATTGTACAAAAAGAACGAAATAACGAGAAATAGAACGAAAAGAAACAGCAGAGGGACAAGTCAGCGGCGAATGACCCACTTTATAAGATCTCAGTCTTGAAGTGGAAGAGTACTGCCAACCGAGCAGACGGAGTAGCGTCCTGGCAACCCACGAAACCAAAATCATTCTAAGATTCCCGAATAAAAAAAATAGAAAAATGATGACGAGGCCAGCCTGCGCAATAATTACGACAGCAGTGGGACTCTCTAGAAGAGCATCCACCGTCGACAGTCACTTCTAGGCTTCTTTTGAATATGCTTTTACCGGATGACTATTGAAGTCATGAATTTAAGAAATAGAAACGTATTCATGTTATATCCTGGTACGACCCATTTTCGTCTGGCTGCGCAAGCGTGCCGCAAAACGGGGGGGGAGGTAAGTCGACTTGTCTAGCCCGCGCCGGTTCACCCGGGCTTAACATACGAGGCCCGGAATATGTAGCACCAAGGAAGCTTGGTTTCTATTTTCGGCCTCCCATAGAGCACCGGGGAAGTCGTCAGCTCACAGGCGAATGAAGAGGACGATAAAAAGGGAAATTCCACACGTACGTCGTCGAGGGGGTCGGTTGCAATAAAGAAAACTACGAACAACCCTTTCCGCTTCTAGATTTGTATATGACCTTGTCCTCCTTTCCATCCCCCCTGTCACCTTCTTCAATGCTAGTTGTTATACGCTCGTTCATCTCCTCTGTTCACTTCCGCGGCGCTTGCTTCACCGTTTCTTGGCATTTCTCCGGCATATATCAAATTCAATTTATCTACAGTCACTTCCGCCACAATTAGCCGGCATACTTGGGGGGTTGTCATCTTCGTTATTTTCTTCGTGTGCATTGCTGTGTTTCTCTGCAATCACCTCCACGACCTCCACGACCAGCACCGACGTCGTCATGCATTTCTTCAAGACCGCCGTCGTGGCTGGCCTCGCCGGCTTGGCCTCGGCCCAGACCTACACCGACTGCAACCCGACCACCAAAACCGGTACGTCGACTCTACGGGATGGCTCGCATCACTACTATACTCCCACTAACACTGCAGGCTGCCCGTCCGATGCCGGTCTTAACAAGGCGTCGTACTCGGTTGACTTTACCGGCGGCGCGAGCTCCGACTGGACTCTGACGTCCGCGTCGGCCAGCTACAGTGCCAGCACCGGCGCCGCCCTCACCATCAGCAAGGCCGGCAACGCGCCGACGCTCAGCAGCAACTTTTACATCTTCTTTGGCCGCGTCTCTGTTTTGGCGCGCGCGTCCCCCGGCCAGGGCATTGTCAGCAGCATTGTCCTCGAGTCCGACGACCTCGACGAGATCGACTGGGAGTGGATCGGCGGCCAGGACAAGCAGGTCCAGACCAACTACTTTGGCAAGGGCAACACCACCGTCTACGACCGCGGCACCACGGTCGACCTCGACGCGCCCACGCAGTCGGCGTTCCGCAACTGGACGCTGGTCTGGACGGCGGCGTCGACGAAGTGGTACGTGGACGGCCGCCTGGTGCGCACGCTGGCCTACGCCGAGGCCCTGGGCGGCCGAAACTACCCGCAGACGCCGATGCGCGTCAAGGTGGGCAGCTGGGCGGGCGGCGACAGCAGCAACTCCAAGGGCACGATCGAGTGGGCGGGCGGCGCGACCAACTACAACGACGGGCCCTTTACCATGTACGTCAAGAGCATCGAGATTGAGAACTACACCCCGGCCAGCCGCTACACGTACAAGGACACGACGGGCGGCTACAAGAGCATCGTCATTGGCTAGATATACTCCAAGACTCCCAGGACGTCGTCGGCCACGTCGACAGTGACCGCCGTCTCAGGTGCCACCGCTGGCTTCAGCCGCGTGTCTGTTTGGGCAGCGTCTTCCCTGCTGGCAGTTGCCATGTTCATCTTGTAATAGGGGGTTTCCTTGCGATGGAGCTCCCAAAGGATGTCGTTCGTACAAGTTCTCTTATAGAATACGAGTCAGCTGTTCCTGTTTGTCTTGCGCAAACAATTATGTCTCATTTACTTGCCGTTTATTAAGTGAAAAGCGGACGACGTCATAAATAGAAGGATTGAAACAAAGATTAACACACACAAAAAAAGAAAAACGTGTACATTTTCACAGCAGCTTGGTATAACCGCCTTCAAAAAGAAAAAAAGAAAAAAAGGGCATTTATTTCAAAGAGATAGACCATCAAGACAACAGTTCAACACCGCCCACATTGAACAAGTCCTTGACGAGCTGCTGCCCGTGCTGCCCCATACGGTCTTCGTAGCGACCCGGAAAGTGTTTCTGCAGCTCGGCGAGGCGGCGGCGCAGACGGTTGGCCGACAGGTTGAAGTCGCTCAGCCGGTGGAAGTGGCTCTTGAGGGCGTCGCTGTCGTCGTGGTGGGAGTACCCTCTGTGGCCGTCGTTGCCTTGTGACGGCTCCTCCCCTTCGTCTCCCCAGCCTACATCCTCTTCGTCGTCGTCGTCGTCCTTGTCGTCCGACTCGCTGTCGAGTATGCCCAGACCGTTATCTGAATACCACGTGGGATGGTACACCTCGATGCAGATCCGCCGCGCCTGCGACTTCAACACCTTCTTCGTCTCGTTGCGTACGCGGCGCGTCTCGTAGTACGCCTCCTTGTTGGCCCGCTTCAGACCGCGGTCGGGCATCAGGAGCGTCACCGGCGGCGGCTCGCTGCTGTGGGCGTACGGCCGGGCGTCAGCCATGCTCTGCTGACGCTGGGCGGCGTGGTACAGGTGCGGACAGGTCGGCGGCACGGAGGCCAGCTCCCAGATCATGAGGCGCAGCTCCGCCGGCAGGCGGGGAAAGGGATGAAAGACGGGCGGTGGTGCCGTGGACGACGAAAGCGAAACAGGAGCCTCGCCCAGGGTGACGGGTGGCGCCATGCACAGCAACGCGCGCAGCTCAATCTTGAGTGAGCGGACGTCCGCGGCACAATGCTGCGCCTGCATGTTAAACACCTCTGTCCGCCCGGCGTTGGAGTTGAGGTGGTAGCAGTAGGAGATGTGGACCCGCGTGCGCAGGTAGGCGAGGCGGTCGTGGTCGGCAATGGGAATGGGCGAAGGATAGAAATAGGCCGGGTCGCGGTGCTGCGGAGCGTCCGGGTCTGTGTACCGATCGGGCGGCGGTAGAGGATGTGCGTGAACGTCCAGGTTGACGGCTTCCGTGACCATGAGGGCGGTCTCGAGCTGGCGGAGCTGCTTGATCATACGGTGGGCAAGTTCGCGGGTGGTCGGCGGGGGTCCTCTCCTTGGGGTGGTGGACGGCCCGGTTGTGGTCAGTTCAGCATGCGTTATGGGCTCGGATGAGGGCGTGGCAGTGGGTATTGCCGTCGCCGTGGACGTAGACTCGGATAAGCGTATATAAGGAAAGGAAGATGGTAGGAGACACACAGATACGCATATTTGCCTGTGTGTCTGTCTTGGTATGCAGCAGTGTCGAGCGTACCAGGTCTCACTGCTTTCGTGCACGCCCCAGATGCCATTCATCTCCGAGTCGATCATGGCAACGAGCTGTGTCGGATTGTTGGACAGTATCCGTTTGCGATTTTGGTCGCTGACTTTGTTGTGGACATATTTGTTGATTTGAATCGTACACTGGCCTGTCTCTGGATTCGCAGGAGACTGTCTTTATGATATATGATCTACTACGAGGTAAATGAACTCTAATTTCAAAAAGACTTTTCTATGCACATTCTTAGATAATATGTGATTAATATTTTGTGTGTCGTCTAGGTTTTTGAATAATCTTGTGCGTATGGGAGTCAGCGAGGTTGACTGTTGGATGTTTGTCACGAGTCGCGGTGTTGGCTACATGACTGTGAGTAAGATGTATCGCGTATGGCGCTACTAAAGAAAGGTGCATCGTAAGTCACGATGACCTTCCAATCGACACATCCAGCTTTAAGTCAGCGCCATGGGGTCCTGATACGGTGCTGTTGTTGTCATCGTCAACGTAGCGTGGCGCGCGTTGGTAAGCGCTTCAGGGGATGCCCGGCGCCGGTGGCCCGGATGCTGCGCGGTGTCACGTGAGGAGCGAAAGCGATTGTTTTGCATGTTACACGTCTCCCGACCGACCGTGCGGGACCCTCAAAGTCAGCGATGACGTACAGCCAGGCGTAGACGGCACGTGCAATCTACTCTTGACAGATACGACGACGGCACGATGGGTAGACCGTGGCCGGTGCTCACACGACCCCGACGGCATGTATCTCGGCGACGACTATCTACAGTCGCCTGGATGAGCAGTGGCTCCAGTGCTAGGATCTACTTACTGGGCCAGCTCGAGATGTCACGCATTCTCTCGAGGATACATCGATGAGCTCGTCAACCATGGGTGCCCAGGGCACAGGTACGGACGGCCACGGGGGACCCCACGTGAAATTGACGACACCGCCTCTTTGGTGACATTTTGCAATCCAATATTCTAGAGGATCCCTTCACCGAGAGCGCCGGCGTCTCTGCGGCCGGCCGGTATGAGTCAGTACGGCATGGCCAGTCTTGGCGTTGGCGGAGTCGACCCACAAAATAGAGAGACCGTAATACGGCGTGGGATGTGCTTCGTACAGAGGCATCTGGTTCCATGCGGACAAAGTCAAGCGCCACTCTTAGTACTCTAAAGCGGCAAGGACATCATTGACGGTTGTTTCGTGGCCGTCGACAGAGATGGAGCAAATGTTGCGCCGGTTGGCCAAGACCTTGTGGTGAACATATTCAAAGGCAAAAGGAAAGAAAACGGCAGGGGTCTACACAGGCCAAGACGATCCAGGAGCCGAGCTGCAGCCCTCTTATTGGAAGAAAACTTGGTTATGACTATGACCGCTACTTTAATTCGTCTAGATCAACACTCTTCATTTGTGGTTTCCATGTGTGTGTATGTTTGTGGTTTTTTTTCTCTCCAAACTTCACCACTATCATGTCACACGCCAAGAAGGCCGAGCAATGCCAATGCATCGTATCTCGCATTGAATTCTGGCAAGAGATTCGGGACAGTTGCTCCCATCTTCAACAGACTACAGAATGAGGTCGTGCTATGTTGCCAAGACGGCAACACATAGCTGACACAAATTCGCAGCTTGAAGCCTATCAGCATTTTGTACAAAAGCAAGCTGCAAACCTGCATTCTCAACCTGTTGATGTCATTCCATTAACCACCAACGACATCGACAAAGGCCAACGTGGCTGACACAAAAGTCAAAACAGATCCGACGGAGGGCGTCCCTCTTCGCATTGCTGGCGAAGCGGACACACCACCGACCAAGACAGAGACAAAGACGTTTCCCCTCAACGCTGCCTTTGAGAAGCTGGTCCGCGACACGCTCGACAGATGCCACATTCCGGGCGTCGCCGTGGCGGTTGTAGACGGCGACGACACGTGGACCGCGGGCTACGGCATGGCCGCGCTGCCCGACGTGCCCGTCCGCCCGTCGACGCTGTTTTTTGCCGGCAGCACGACCAAGTCGTTTACGGCGGCGGCGGCGTCGCTGCTCGTCGACGACGACACGACGGAGGCGCGTGCGCGCGTGCAGTGGACGACGCCGCTGAGCGAGCTGATCCGCGAGGACTTTGTGCTGGCCGACGCGTACGGCACGGCCCACGTGACGCTGGAGGACGCGCTGTCGCACCGGACGGGGCTGGCGACGCACCAGCTGACGATTGGGCGTAGGCGGTCGTCGCCGACGGCGATCCGCGACTACGTGCGATCGCTGCACCACTGCGCCATGACCCAGCCGATCCGGACGGCGTGGCAGTACTGCAACGGCATGTTCATTGCGGTGGGGCACATGATCGAAGTGGTGACGGGCCAGACGCTGGGCGCGTTTATGAAGGAGCGGCTCTGGACGCCGCTGGGCATGATGTCGACGTTTTGGACGCTGGCCGAGGCGCAGGCGTTTGTAGCGGACGGCGCCAATGACACCAATGGCAGCAGGGCGACGGCGACGTTGGCGGTGCCCTACGCCTGGGACGAAGCGGCCGGCCAGCACCGCGCCATCCCCTACTTTGACGGCGTGCTGGGCGGCGCCGGCGCCATCATTTCGACCGTCGAGGACTACGCCGCGTACCTGCGCTGCATCCTGCGCAAGACGGCGCCCCTATCGGCGGCCGGCCACGCGGCGCTGCGGCAGCCGCGCGCCTTTTGCCCGCCGGGCGCGCAGCCGCAGCTCACCCAGCCCATGACGTACTCGCTCGGCTGGATGCTGTCGACGTACCGCGGCGACGACGTGATGCTGCACCCGGGCGGCGTCGAGGGCATGACGGCCACCATGGTGTGCGTCCCCGCGCGCGACTGGGCCGTCGTCGTGTTTGCCAACGCCGACAGCCCCGGGCGCGAAGCCATCGCGTGGCACCTGGTGGACGAGCGGCTGGGCGTGCCCGCGGCCGCGCGCCTCGACGTGCACGAGGACGCGCAGGCGAAGCAGGCATGGCGCCAGGCGCGCCACGCGGGCTCGCGTACGCGCCTGTACCCGACCGTCCCCGACCCGCCGCGGCCCTTGTCGCTGCCCCGCCGCAGCCTTTGTCGCTGCCGCGGCTGCAGGACTACGCCGACGTCTACACCCACCCGGCGTGTCCGGACGTCGTTGTCAGCGTGGACACCGACAAGGGCAAGGACAACGACAAGGCGACGCCCCGTCTGCGCGCCGACGTGACCGGCGCCCTCCCCGTGCGCTTGCTGCTGGACCACGTCACGGCCGACTACTTTGTCGCGGGCTTGTACCTTTTCCGGCACGCCACGGTCCCCGACGCCATGGTCAAGGCCGAGTTCCAGCTGGACGCGAGCGGCCTGGTCAAGCGGTTCGGCGCGGCCGTCGACATGTTCAACCCGACGGGTGATTTTCTATGGTTTGAGAAGCAGGAGACGGCGTGAGCGTCGGCGTGAGCGTGCGGCGTGGACATGCGGACGGTCAGGTCATTGCAATGGTTTAGATTAAAGTAGACAGGATCTATGGAAACATGAAACAAAATGACACACACGCCCGCCTGCACCTACGCAATCACGGAATCGTCGTCATCGCTCTTGGCCAGCGTCTGCTCGTCGTTGAGCTTGGGGTTGCGCAGCGCCAGGGCGAGGCCGATGATGGGCACGCACAGCGCGATGCCCGTGATGGTCAGCAGCCGCTGCACGTGCTGGTACGACTCGATGATGGCGGTGCGCTCGACGGTGCCGACGGGGTAGGCGGCAGCGGCGGAGAGCGGGTCGCCGTAGACGACGGCGGCGAGCGTGGTGTTGATTGGGGCCAAGTTGTGCTCGAGCGTGCGTGGCAGCACCTGCGACCAGAGCGCGCCGCTGACGGTGTTGCCGAGGGCGGAGCCGATGTTGTAGGTGGCGAGGTAGAGGCCCGTCATGACGGCGAGGTTCTCGTGCTTGAGGCACGTCTGCAGGGACGCCTGCGCCGGGTAGGGGAACAGGCCACCGGCGATGCCCAGCAGCACCTCGGCGCCGATGACGCCGGCGCGGCTGGACGCGGACGCAGTCGTCGAGCCGCGGTAGTGGATGAGCAGGCCAAAGGCGACGAGGAAGAGCACGGTGCCGGCGAGGATAAAGTACTTGAGGCGGCGGACCTTGAAGACGACGAGGCCCAGCAGGAAGCCGGTGACGACACTGCAGAAGGAGTAGAGCGACGTGATGCGCGTGGCGGCCGCGACGCTAAAGTCAAAGGCGACAAACAGCACCGTGTACAGGTAGTCGCCCTGCATGTACCAGGCAAAGTTGAGCAGCAGCGCGATGCCGAGCGGCGCCCAGACGCCGCGGTCCTTCATGAGCGCGAACGGCACGAGCGGGTGCGGCGCCCGGGTTTCCCACGCGACGAAGACGGGGATGCAGACAAAGCCGACGACCAGCGGCGCGATGATGTGCGCCTCGTGCCACGTCGCCGTGAGGCCGCCCGCCAGCGTTAGGGGCACGAGGATGAGTGCAAACACGGCCACCATCAGCACGATGCCGACGGCGTCGAGGCGCCAGAACAGGTCGACGACGAACCCGCGCGTGCCCTGCTGCGCGCGCAGCGCCTGCGCGTAAGGGCTGACGAGGCCGCGGCGCCGGGCGCGGCGGCCGACGGCCAGCAACGTCGCCAGCAGCGGCACGCAGCAGACGGGGTAGATGATGCACCACATGCCGATGCCCCAGCGCCATGTCGTGGCCGCCAGCACACTTGACGTCACGTTGCCGCTGATCCACGTGTTGATGACAAACGGCAGCGCCGGAATGTAGGAGAAGAGCAGGCGCGCGCGCGTCGACGTCAGGTCAGCCACGATGACCTCGACGAGCAGGATCACGGTCGTGTAGCCGATCTGGTAGAGCACGGCGCCGCCCGCAAACGCGCTGACGCCGCTCGACGACGCCTGCACGACGGTGCCCACGACGTAAAAGACAATGGACACGAGCACCAGCTCGACGCGGCCAAAGATGTCGGCCACCTTGGCGGCCGTCGGCTGCGCGGCCGCCGCAATCACCGACCGCAGCACGTTGATGGCCGCCAGCAGCGAGTGCTGCGCGTACGACGCCGTCGCGTACGTCTGGAACGTGTAGCGCACCGTGCCGTCGAGCCCGTAGGCGTACGCCACCAGGAACACGCCAAAGAACAAGAAGACGCGGTCGGTGCGCGTCAGCACGGCCGCCAGCGCCTCCATGCGCGTGACGCCCGCCGACTGTGCATGGAGGCTGCTCGGGCGGTCAGCGGCCTTGGCCGTGGTCGTGGCAGCGTTGACGTCCTTGCTGTCGGTCTGGATCTCGGGCGCCGACGTTGCATACGCCGGAGGGCCGGCGTGGGCCTGCTTCTCGGCCATTGTCGAGGTGGAGCACTATGGGAGGTGCGGGGAGGTGGTGCAAGGAAAAAAAAAGGGAAGACGATGGGAGGAGAACAAGAGACAGTGAGAGGACAAGACGGAAAGACGACAGCGCAAAGAGATGAAAGATCGGCGGGAGGCAAGTCTTATAAATTAATACCTGAATGACAGTATGCCGGGAGTACTCGGTACAGTTTGCGGCTCTGAATTTTCGTCTGCACGAACTTGGTGTCCCGACAAGCTCCTTGGCTCTGGTGTCGGTTGTCTTGTTGTCGTCTCTTAGCCTGCCGCAATTTTATCTCTGCATTTCGCTCGTCTCCGCCCTTCATCAATCTAATCAGATGGCCAAGACCCAAGGACTGGTCCAATGCGCAAGTTTGTCCGAGGTGCGGCTACTAAGGTAAAAATTGGCAAACACTGTCCACAAAAACATCCACTCGCAGGAAAAAAGCAATAAATGGACAAATCATAACCAACCAGACAACCCTAGTCCCGAGGAGGGAAAATGGCCCGTGGATCAACAAGACTGTGGAATCGACCAACAGACTGGAGCTCAAGCTTCTTTCATCCTTCATCTGGCCCAGCTGCAGACTTTTTTGGTCTCTTCCCTCTGTCTTTTCACGCCTCGAACGCCTTCCCATCCCACCCTTCCACATTCCCTGTGAATGCCGCGTCGGTCCAGGGTCCAAAAGAAGAAAAAGAGCCAAGACCATCCCACGCCTCATTTTCGAGGTCGTATTTACGAATGTACAGAATACGACTTCTTCTTTTCGTCTCGCTCTTGTCAAGTCTCCGCGACCGGCGAACCCATGTGAACCTGCGACGTAAAAACGACGGCCTTCCGTATTCCACTTTCTGTGCAACCTCCCATACAATACATTCCGTGCCAGGACACTACTCGTTTGCTATTTTGTTGGATGTGTCATGGCGGCTTACATCGTTTTCTCACTACGAACTTAGTGTGGCAACTTCATGCCTGGGCGACAACCCTCTGTAAAGCAACCAACCAGCACGGAATGCCCTTACTGTTCTTGCAGGGGTATCAAGTCCGGAGATTGGACGGCGAGTTGGGTCTCGTCAGCTGCCACTTATCAATCTACAGTATTACCACGTACGCACATTCTCTTTTGGCATGACTCCGGCCCCGGAGCTGGGTTTTTGGCGCTGATGTCCCGTGCTCTGTAAGACACGTGGTAATGCAAACTACAACAGTAGAAAACCGAACTCTGTCTCACAGGGTTTTTTTTAAAAAAAAATAAGAAAAATCACGCAAACGCTACTATGCCAAGAATGGACCACACCAAGTTGCCTGGCCAAATGGCACGAGAGACCTGACGGCCGCGCATCTTATCAATCACCACTTTATCAATCAGCCGCAGATTGATAATACGGTGCATGCTGCAAAGAGAGATCTGCCATGGCACACTGTCCTGCAGTATAGAGCTCATGCTCAAACTCTGACGCACTGTGCATCGCGTTACGACAATTTCGTTCCGCGCCAGAACGTAAAAAGTTCTCTTGAGAACTTGATGCTTTTTGGTATGGGTACCACATTCATAAAAAGAAAATCTATAATGTTTTCCGACGATTTGTAATTTTTAATTTATTTTTCGTGCGCTTAAATGATGATACTATTTTAATGCTTACGTTTCACCTGAATATCGGCCTGTATGAATTTGTTATTATTTTTAAAACGAATAATTTGAAACAAGGCTGTACAGAAATGGGCGCTTAAAAAAAAAAAGCTACCGCTGAAGTCAAAGAAAACGTTAACGCTGCATACAAATACGCATATGTATCATTTCATAAAAAATTGCAATGAAATAAAACATCCCGCAGTGCAACCATATATGACAGCGCACATATATCTATCGTGTCAGTGCAGTTGCCAGTCATGAAACCGCTCGTAAAGGGAAAACGGAATGCAGCGCTTTATGGAGCAGGAAGTGCAAGAGAGGAGGAAACAGAGTCACAAACAAGGACAAGAAGAAGAAACGACACAAACAGGCAAGTTAGAGTTAGACCGTCGGCTGCCCGAAATAGTCACCGCCGCTAAAGGAGCCGTCACAATGGCACACATGTGGCCCGCCGACTCGGCGCCATATGTTCAGAACACCAAACCCGCTGCAGTAGTAGCACTCGTCCTGCAGGTTTGAGCAGTCGAGGCACACAACGGTCGCTGCACGCCACACGCCGCCAATGCGCCCGTGGCCCTGGCAGAACGCACAGTCGCGGCGGGGTCGGGAGGGTTCACGGGTGGCGGACTGGGTGGCGGCTTGGACGGGTGCATTTTCGGACCCGCCGTTGCTAATCGGAGGCCGAGCATGCGTCCGGCTCGGAGCATGGGCCTGAGGACGGGCACACGACCGTGGCTGGGTTTGAGACTGGATCTGAGGCTGGGTCTGGGGAGGGTCCTGTTGACGAGGCTGCGACCTCCCAGATGCATCCGTGACTTGGACGTCGACGTCTATGTTGATGTGCAGGCTTCGAGGCTGGGACTGAATATCCGGTTGTTGTTGTTGTTGTTGTTGTTGTTGTTGCTGTTGTTGTTGTTGTTGTTGTTGCTGTTGTTGCTGTTGCTTTTGATGCCGTCGGCGCGGCTTGGCTTGTCGGGCGTCAGGATCAGACGGTTTGGATAGCTTGGACGGCTTGGATGGCTTGGACGGTTTGGACGGCCTGGACGGCTTGGATGCCCTCGAAAGGTCTGAATCTTGCCTGGGCATACGAGGGTTGGAGGCACCTTGTCCCATAACTCTGACTAATATCTCTGCTGCCGTCTCTTCATAGGCCTCCGACGTGTCGTCGACGTCGATGATCGGCGTGCTGCCCGGTGGTTGTTGATTTCGTGCTCTGGTTACTCGCGGTTTCTTCGGTTTGGTAGCTTTGCAGCGGACTTTGGGTTCAGCCGGTTTTGGTATTTTCGGGGTTTTCGGTTTCTGGGGTTTTGAGACCTCTGGGGTCTGGGTGGTTTCGGTCCGTGTCGTAGTCCCTGTGGTCCCTGTGGTTTCCGGTCTCATGGAAGGCCCAACCCTTTGCGTGGCCAGCGCCTCGGCCAGAAGCGCATTGAGCAGCTCGGCCTGTGTCTGGGGCACCACGACGTCGTGGCCACGTCCAGGTGTCTTGACTGAGGGTTCCATATTGCATCAGGGCGGCGTCCAAGATTGGTGCTGAAGCGTGAGACTGTTGAGATGGACATGAGGTCTGCTGCGTTGCCGGGCGTTTCAACGATTTGAATGTTGATATTCATTCTTTCAGAAACAGATGCGGCAAATTTCACGTCGCAGACTCTATTGGGGTCCTAGGAGTGCCAAACATCTTTACGAAATGGGCTGCTGACTACAAGATCACGGTGTGATGCGTGCTAGTCTCCAACTTTAACAGCGGCAAGTCATGGCATTGGACTTGTTAATCTACGAGTGGTAAGCCACCACGGTTCCTCTTGGCTTATGAACTAGATGACACACGACGTCGAAAGGTTATGTATGCTTGCACAGTGTGAGAAGGGAGACTCATGCTGTCATATTTCAAGCTCCTCTTTTGCGGTTTCTCCACGTTTGTACGCTTATAATGCCATGTGAATTTAATCAAACAACCAACAACCAAACGTTCCTATTAGACAGGCTGAGACACCTGGGCGTTCTGGAGGACAACGGTATCGTATACCTGTTCGTCTTTTCCGCCTCTAGGATTGTGATGCTCGTCCCTTCTAGGATGGTGCTCCGGACAGACCTCGTCTTCCGGCGTTCCGCACACTTCCAAAAGCCGATGAACGGCGACAACGGTCGACGGAGCTTCACTTCTAGGTTTGCTTCTTGGATGGTAGACAACAGTAGCCACGCGGTTGGGTGCAGGGTAAATTTCCTCCACAGACGGAAGCACGTCGGCGTCGTCGACAGGAGCATAGGAATGCTGGCCTTTGCTAGTCAGGACGAACCCGGCCGTGTCAAGACCGGCCGCTGCTTCGAACTCGTCTACCTCAGACACGCTGGAATGTCTCGAGTGCAGCTGGTCGTACAAAGACGAGCCGCCCCCCAGAGCATGCATGGGATCCAACCAACAGTCATCATACAGCCTAGTATGCGATGATGACGCGTCGGTTGTCGTTTTGCTGGCGTTGGAGGAATGGAGCGAGTAGCGATCTGGGGATGGTTCCGAGCGAGAGGCCTCTGGCTCGGGGGATGCCACGCTCGAGGCTGTGTCTGTAGCGCTGCTGGACACGCTGCCCGGCGGCAGTACAGCGTATTCAGACGTCCCCGGACGACTGTGGCTGCCATGGTAGAGGGACTGGTCGTCGTCGTCTCCGTCTCCGTAGTCCACCTCATCTTCCGGGGTTTCGCCCCGGCCGTTGTACCCGTCTGCGGCGGACGGGGCCCTGCGCCTTGCGTGGTACTCGCCACGGCGGGACCGTGACGGCGGCCCACTCGGTTTCGCGACTGCCGTGCGTATGCTTCCCAAGCTGCGGTTCGGTGTCTGTCTGCTGCGCTTGGCTGGACGCTCGTGTCGGACCGACGGCGAGGTCGACGCCCACCGCGACAACGCTGACGACGCCCGAGGGGTGGGGGCGGCGAGGTACTCTGACAGTGCCGTCGGCGACTGCTCCATCGGGTACTCGCGAACCGCCCAGTCTGGGCTGGGACGGTAACGTTGCGTTGGTGGATCGGTACGATGTTGTGGTGTGGGACTGCGCGACAGGTCGACGTCAACGTCAACGGAGCTGGTCGACGTGAAAAATTCGTGTTCTAGACATTCGAGGGCCGAGGGTCGGTCGGCCGGTTTGTCAGCAAGAAGCTGCATGCCCAGGTCGAAATGGGCCGGCAGGTCGTGGGTCTGAGCAGCCAGCACCTGTCTCTGCGTGACAACGGCGTCGAGGTACGGCCCCCAGTTGTCGCCTCTGCCGTCGGGTATCTCAAACGACGTTCCAAACAAGGCGAGAATGAGAACGCCAATCGCAAACATGTCCACCTTGTTTGTGCGAGCCTTGTGGCCGTTGACAATCTCTGGCGCCATGTACAACGCCGTCCCGCATGCGGTGTTGAACCGAGTCGCGTCCGTTGCCAGGCCAAAATCAACCAGTTTAATTTGGACGGGTTCGCGGCAGGCCAGGATAATGTTAGCCGGTTTGATGTCTCTGTGTGTCACCCCTCGACCGTGTAGATACGCCACAGCCGTGAACAGCTGCCACAGCACGTCCTGGATTTCGGTGACGCTGAGCGGCTGGTGTCCTTTGTCCGGGTCGCAGATGTCCTGGAGATTGGGACCGTCCACGTACTCCATGATGAGCTGTGCACGCTGGCCGGGCAGGTCGATGAATGCGACATATTGTACCACGTATTCCTACGTAACCGACAGTTAGCAACAATGAGAAGTAAACGAGACGAAAGAGAAATGTGTCCTTAGGAGGTGTCGTGAATCTGAACGTACATGTTTGAGGCTTTGCAGCATGCCTTGCTCTCTCCATTCCACCGCGCCGCGCTTGTACAGCTTCATTGCGTAGACTTGCCCGGTGAACTTTTCCACGGCCTTGAACACCTGCCCAAAGCCGCCCTGCCCAATCTCGTAGTCTTGCATATACACAGGGGGCCGCTGCGACGCATTGGTTGTCGCTATTTTCGAGTCCAGCCCGAGAAACGCCATCGACAGCGTGTCTTCTGCCCCGTACTGAACAAGGTACTCCTTCCAATCCGCTGGGTCATCGACGCGTTCGATTTCGATCTGGAGATCATCGCTAAATCTGATGGTTGCCTTTTCAAAGGTCATCACTGTTTGCGTATTTTTAAGCCGCCTCGCCTCAACCTGCCTTGAAAAATTGACTCGAGTGCCGTGCTTCGAGTGATTTTGAAGTAGGGTAGTGCCCGATGTTGGCAGAGGTCGGACAGCGATATGCCGTTCACTGACCATGTGGCTGTCGACCATAATGTCGCACTTGTCTGGGTCTCTACCGATCATGAAGCCAACGCTTCTGTCTTTGGGGAGATGATCTGTGGTGATACGGAGGACGAATGGCGGCTTCCAGTCGGGCGCGGGTGTGCCGTGGTCTTCATAAATTGACTCGGCAACCTGATCGGTGCCGTCGTCTGCGTAGTAAACTGGGGCGTCCTTTTCGACTGTAAACACTTCATTATGCATGTTTCCAAGAAGGTTCTCGTCTCCCGTGATGGTGAATATCACTTGATTGTTGGCCATGGCTGTGGCTGCGCTGTTGGCTTGCGTGATGATTGAATGCCTGCTATTGATTAAGAAAAGACAATGATGCTAAGGTAAACGATGAGTGGCGAAAGAAACATACATGAAATCATCTCAAATCAACAGCATAAAGCGTCAGGCAGGCCTCTTATGCTAAGTTCTCGGGCCATACGAAAATGTACTCTGGGAGAGGGAGTGTTTGTCATTGAAGCATCTGGGCGTTTCCAGCCTCACTATTTTGGGCATCCAGTCAAAGAAAAACCGAGAGCACCTGTTACAGGATATTCGCTTTTGCCGACATTGGTTGGCTTGCACGGCTCGCTGTAGATAAAGCAGTCTGAGAGATCCACACACACAAACACGACACATGTTGATGGGTGAGGCTGTGATGCGGTGATTGTACGACGTCCAGGCGCTTGCGTGTGAACAGCATTATCTCGGCGGCTAGGGAGCGGGCCGTGTGCTGCAGACCCACTAGCCCATTCATCAGTTTGGTGCCCTGACTGAAAGAGGGGTAAATCACCAACGGGCCTGGCCCTTTGGCGCCTAAGCACGGGAAGTCCCCAGCCTTTTCTGTTCAAGCCAGGGGCTGGGATGACCTAAAAATACCACCTGTCGCAACTTTAAACGCCCATTTTCCAGCGCGACCCGAGTCAAAAGAAAGAAAAGAAAACGATTCACCGAAGGCAGCGCATCTTTCTCCCTCTAACAAAGCCACGACCAGACCTATGTTCCCCCTTTTCTCGACCATACCCCAAAACCCGTCGCTTGACCTTTTGCTACGACATACGCCTTCCTTTCTCTGTCCTCGGCGTCCGTACCCGCTATCATATGCCCGACATATCCTTCCAACCGATTGACGTTCAGTATCCCGTATGGTTAGTAGTGGCGCTCCGGCAGTGCCGGGACCGGTTGATAAGGAGAAGACTGCAGGTCCCCAACGCAAGCGATGCCCGCCATCTCGACAGCGGTATTACGATAGATTGTCATGGGCGATATCGAGCACCGGCCATACTATGGCCGAACTTGCAAGACTCGGGCGTCCTGGTCAGTGGATTCTGCACAACGAGGATATCTATGTAACGGACCTGGACACGCGACCGCAAACACGAAATCCGGACGAAGAAGTACGCATTCGTGGTCTTACATACTATGGGGCCCCTATTAATCGGAGGGACCTGGTTTGGGCAGGAAAAAGGCCGGCGCCCGACTTCCTTGACGTTACGTTTTGGGACGACTACAACAAAAGCCTCGACGAGAAGCTGAAGCAGGCCAAGGCCAGACTTGTACAGCCTCGCTTTACGCCAGAGGAACTGCAGGTCATTGAATCGCTGGAGGCACAGCCTCGCCATTACTTTCGCACGCAAATGAATACCAGGAGACGGAGAATGGCTGACAATAAGACAACGATCTTCGTCGCCTTGTTTGGCCTCGCTAAACTCGGGCGCCCTGGGCAGTGGATCTTGCACAGCGAGGAATTTTACCACCCTGTCATCGACACCCGGCCACAAACACGAGCCGCTGAGAAATGCATCGTTGTGCGCGACGAGCACTTCGTAGGGGACCGGAGGATTGTGGGCGAAGCGCTCTTCGCGAACTTTGAGCTTACATGGGCAGGAGACGGGCCGACACCGGACTTTGACGACTCCCAATTTTGGGAAGAAAAGTCTAAGAACTTACGTGAAACGCTTCGTCGGGCCGAGAAAGGCGATATAGAGCCCCAGTTCAACCCAGACGAGCTGCGCGTCTTGGAGGCGATGGAGGGCGATGAGGGGCACGCGTTTGCCAAGTACCTCACGGAGCGACTAGAGGCACCACCACCGGCGGTCATCGAGACGGAGGAAGAGCAGCAGGTATCACCAAGGCTTGGATTGGCAAAACAATTGGTTCTCGATGCGTTTGAACGTCTGTGGTACTATGGTCTTCCCGGAAAATGGGTGCTGCATAACGAGGATCTTTATCTTCCAGAATACGACACACGCTTCCGGGAGCGCTACGACGAAGACGAGGATGGCGACGACCAGGACAAGGACAATGTCCTGATCGACAGCGATAGCCGGTTGCGATTTGACACCCGCTTCAGGCCACTGCCTGACTTCAGTGACGTTGCGTTTTGGGAGGAAAAACGCGCAGAGCTGCGCAACAAGGAAGACGAAATCACCGCAGGTCGGTTAACAACACACAACTTCACGGAAGGTGAGCTGCTGCGAATCGAGCTACTCGACCGTGTCCTTGAAGAGCAACTTGAATACGGCCTGAGAAGCGAAGAACAGAAAGAGCAGCAAAAGACACGGCAAATTGCAGCGTGGGTCAATGGCAAGTCGCCGAGAGAAATATGGAGCATGCCAGCAGAGCAGCGTACACCGTCCCCATCACCGTCGCCTTCTGTCGACGCACCTTCAGAACATAGACGGCGGGGCCATGCAGCAGACGTCGACGGAGACGCCACCCAAACACAATCACCCGCGTCGAAAGCTCCAAAACGCAAGCGGACGACAATCAACGGCGACAACAATAACTATGGCAATGGCAACAAAGATGACGACAAACCAAGACACATCATACAACCCGCCAAACGTAGCAAAATGCAGCCGCCGCTGGAGCCGTCGCCAGCAGTACCAAACCGGCGCCGCCGCTCCAGGAAACCACCATCAACGTCACCGAAGAAGACACAACGCCGTCCGGCAGATCCACCAGCAAACCCACCTCCGAGGAGAAGTCCACGCATAGCGGCACAGCAGCCGAGGAGGTACCTGTACAAGTAACGAATGCAGCATACTCTGCAGACACTAGACATTGCCTTTGTTTGACACAATGAATGTTCTTTGCAGTGAATCGTTCTCAGAATACCATGATTGTCTTTTCGTTTTCTTTCTTTTTTTTGACAACCTCCCTGGCTATCTTCTAAATACAGTAAACTCGAGCACAATGAATACAATGTACATGACGAGCAGCACGGCGCCCACCCACTGCCTCGACCCGAAGAACACAATCGGGAGAAACAGTGCCGCGGACACCCACATCACGAGGAGCTCAAACGGGACGACAGAGCTTGCGAGCTCCTCTGGATCGCCGGCCACAAACGTGATGCCCAGGCACAGCGTCAGGAGGAAGATGTTGCTTCCCGCCGTGTTGGCAACAACGATGCCGCCATGGCCGCGCGCGCCGCCGATCACGGCAACGAACTTCTCCGGCAGCGTCGTCGCAAAGGCCAAGATGGTGACACCCAGGACGGTGCCAGAGAGGTCAAAGGCGTCCCCAATGGAGGCGGCACTGTGCGACAGGATGTAGCCCGCGAGCGACAGTGCGACGAAGCCGAGGAGGAGTTGAACGATGTGGTAGACGATGCCATGTTTGGGGCGGTGTGGCGGCTGTTCTCCACCCGGTCCGTTGGCGATCAGCGGCGACTGTTCGTCAGCGACCGCATCGCGTGGCACCTCTGCCTCGTGGCCGTTGCCCCGCGTGCTGTCGTCATCGCTATCCGAGTCACTGTCTGAGTCGACATCTTCAGGTGTGTCTAACACGCCCCTGTAAATGCCGTAACCCACAGATGCCAGATACAAGGCAAACACGGCGATGAAGACGGCACCCGCGATCCGACCGAGGCTGTTTGTGAGGGCCACGACAGCTGCGAGCGTGGTGACGACAAAGAGCAATGCAGCATACACCTTTGCGCTGCGATCAAAGGTCCAGTGGCCCGGATGGACGAGGAGCCCCAGGGAGAAGGCGCCGAGAATGTTTGAGATGGAGGAACCGACGACATTGCCGACGGCCAGAGACGAGCGGCGTTGGAGGATCGCGGCCAAAACAACGGCCAGCTGCAGAGCAAATTAGCGTCCTCATTACCATTCCATATTGTAGCCGATGCAAACACACCTCTTCCCATTCTGCGCCAGCGGTGAGCAAGGCGACCAAGGTCTGCGAGACGCGGAGTCGGCGCCCGACAATCGCCGTGTGGTCAATGAAGCGATCCGCGCCGAATTCAAGGAGAAACAAACCCGCGACAAAGGCGCTGGCGTTGAAAGCGACGCTATCCCAATCCATCTTTCTTTCCGGAAAGTCGGATATCAGATTCCTGTCATGTGGCCGTGGGCTGTAGTGGGCTGTAGACTGTTGGCTGTTGGCTTGCATTGTGGACGAAGCTGAGGTTGAGGTTGAAATGGAGCCGGGGGTTTCAGCCTTGTTTGGTTGCGGGTATTCGACGGGACGCGAAATTTAGCATGTGCTATCGGGGCGTCAGGGGGAACTGGTGCAGTAACGTAGCCAGTAAGACCCACTGTAACCTTTTAGGTGGATGGCCTACAGGTTACAAATACAGGCGCTTTACCTCACTTTCTCGCAGGCTTCTTCACCTGAAAATTGAGACCGCAAACATCACGCTACATTCTCACGTCGTTTCTATTTCGACACATGCCACTGCTTCACTATTCTGGTTTCATCTCCAAAATCACGCAAGCTACATCTCCAGATACAAAAATCCCCACTGTTACTTCGTGCCCATTGTCGTTGCCATTTCTGTCCTTGCAGCTATCCTTCCCACAGGGACGGGCGCTTCGCCTCTCGTCGCTGTCCTCCGTCATACGACAATCATAACAGCAGCGGCGGCTGTCATTCCCAGTTCTCTCTGTGTCATTGTGCTGTACCAGACCAGCAAGACTGCCGAGTTGGGCCACCTTAATTGTTGACGTTGGTCATTGGGAATGAACGATCGAGGTATCTGTGAGGGGGGAACAGCCTGATATTAATTAGGCCCACGATATGTGTTGACAGTGAATAAATAGAAGCAGACTGAGATTGAACGACCAGTACAGAATTTTACATCGTTGGCAACACCCACCGAGCGGTACGACTGCTAAACGGAAACTGAACGCAGCAGCAACGGACGGGAAATGCTCCTGAGACGGACAGTACCACGACGTGGCGTGGGACGGCTCGATTGGGAAAGGCAAAGCACCAACGAAACAACAAGCGGATCGTTATTCGGACGTAAGCTCTGTTGCTCTTTTTTGAAAGAAGAATTACATTCCCACCTCCCTCCATCCGGGCACGGCATCGCGCTTGGAACTGCGTCATCTACTTGCTCGGACGGAACGTAATCGTCTTGGTCTTGAGAAACTCGTTGAGGCCGGCATCTGCATTGAACCGGCCAAAGCCGCTGTTCTTCACGCCGCCGTGCGGAAGGCCGGCCTCGTCGTGTACGCTCATGCTGTTGATGTGCACCGCCCCCGTCTCGATCCGGCGGGCAATGGACAGGCCCTTGGCGAGGTCCTCGGTAAAGACGGCGCCGCTGAGGCCGTAGTCGGTGTCGTTGGCAATGCGGACGGCCTCGTCGTCATCAGCGACGGAAATCAGCGACACGGAGGGGCCAAAGCTCTCGGTCTGGTAAATGTCCATTTGGTCCGTGACGCCGTCGAGGACAATGGGGTGGATGGTGCGGGATGGGGTGGACGACGACGCAGCGGCCGGCGCTTGCCCGTGAAACACACCGGCGCCTTTCGCCACGGCGTCCTGGACGAGGCCGGCGACCTTGTCGTAGCCACCAGGCAGCGCAAGCGGCTGGGCCGGCGCCGCCTCGCTGAAAATGGCGGCGATGGCCTTTTTCAGCTCCACCTTGAATGCGTCGACAACATTCTTGTGGACGAGGATCCGTTCCGTGGACATGCAAATTTGACCGGCCTAGAACAGCTGCGTTAGGCTCTCTGTTGCGCTGCACCGTCAGTATGGTACCGTCTGACCTACATGCAAAAAGGCGCCCAAGCAGCACTGCTGCGCAGCATAGGCCACGTTGGCGTCCTCACAGACAATGGCGTTGTTCTTGCCGCCGAGCTCCATGAGGGCCGGCTTGAGATGCCGTCCGGCCAGTTCCGAAATGATGCGGCCAACCGCCGTGCTGCCCGTAAAGTTGATCTTTCGCACGGCCGGATGCTCGATGAGGCTGCGCGTGACATCCGCTGCGTCAGCCGGGCGGTGGTACAGCACATTCAGGCAGCCGTCGGGCAGGCCTGCCTCGCGGAAGAGCGCGCCGATGGCCCAGAAGCAGCGCGGGGACACTTCGCTGCCTTTGAGCACGCAGGTGTTGCCTGCCGCCAGCGCGTAGACGACCGACCGGATGCCGAGAATGTATGGGGCGTTCCTAGACCGTCAGCATGCAGTTTACTCAAATTTTTGTGTGTTGCAGTGTTACACAAGGACGCTGGGCGTGGAGAGCCGCACCAAGGCGCAATACCCAGAACGACGCCATACGGCTCCTTGACCACCAGGGCCTGCGTGTCGGCGTCGTCGCAGATGGGCGCCGTGCCGCTCAGGGCGCCGCTGATGCGTCCGGCACAGTCGCGGATGATCTCGCGCGACGTCATCAGGTTGAACTCGGCGAACCCAACGCCCGAGCCCGTTTCCTGCACCATGCACGCCTGGTACTCGGCCGCGTGTGCCTCGAGGAGATCGGCGGCCCGGAGGAGAATGGTTCGTCGAACGGCGGGCTTGGTGAGAGACCACGCCGGAAAGGCGTCGCGGGCGGCGTTGACAGCGGCCACGGCATCCTCGCGCGAGGCCGACGAGGCCTGCCAGATCGAGCCCGTGCCGACGTCGGGAGACACGACGGGAAACACAGTCGGCGTGACAATCTCCTTTCCGTTGATGAGGAGAGGAACAGTGGTAGTGGTGGCACCACCACTGCTCGCAGGGACGACGTTCTCAATGGCCATGTTGGCTGCTGGCAATGTGTCGATGTTTGCTGCATATCAAACGTTGCGAGACGTCTGCAGCTGGAAAGAGACGGACTATGAAATAGCAAGCCGTGTGCGGAGTTCATGAGGGGCAAACAAATCGTCCCGCCGTAGCATTGTCGTTACAATGTCGCCAAGTCCATCCTCTGGAATCCTGCAAACCGATCATTTGGACGCTAGTTGGCTGGCTCGTGGTTGTCGCCAAACGCACCTTTCGAGCTTTCCTAGTGTCTCCGAGTCTGTGGGCTTGGCTTGTCCAGGGGGAACAATTTTCCCTCAACAACCCTCTCCAGCGGCTTGTAGGGAACGAACTGGCGGCGTTTTCCGAGCGAAACAAAGAGCATCGGCAGTTAGCTGCGGAGAGCCTTCTTGGCGTCGGAGCCATGTGGGATGGATCGTCCGAGTCCAACACGACGTGAAGAGATGGCTGAAAAGGCCTCGACCACCATCCGAGCACTTGTTTCCCTTTTTCCACACAGAGGCTGCGACCGATGATTCGCTTTCCGTACATCCTTCCTACGCACCTTACTAGTTTCGGATGCCATATTGGTCGCCCTTTTTATACTTGATATCGTCTATGTTGCGCTGCACGCATTCCAGTAAGTCCGTCAGGTGGCGGTAGCCGCTGCCGCCGAGTCACTGCATCTTTCTGACTGTCTGCGGTCAACGAAAGTCGTGAAGAAGTCCTGTCAACATTTGTCACTATATTCATTATAAGTCGCTAGGACCCGTAGGAAACTACTTAGCGATTTGACAACCTCCTCGGCGGGTGTGGCGTTGTGTGGCTCGTTAGTCGTCAATTAAGGCGCTCCTTGTGACCAATATTTATATACTTGATTGAAATATAGACTACTTTACTGCATGAAGTACCTCTCGGTGAAAAATATATGTCTTGTTATTATCGTAGCTAGCACTGGATGTGCCAGTAAGGTATGCCTTCTAACTGACACGAACAAAATAAGGAATGACAAGCGGAATTATATTCATTTTGTTCTTTAATAGTCTTAATAATCTTCAGGTATCTCGTCGAGGCAACGAGCATGGAAATAAAAGTAAGTGAAAAGAAAAGGAATCAAAACAACGCCGCCTATATCCCAACTATCCATCCTCATATGCGTAGTTCTACATGAGGTTCCTAGGCGGGTCATTGTCACTTCCCAGTCAGCACGGACCAGCGAATTCGAATTGCCGTCCGAGGGCGTCTCCAAGGTCAGCTCATAACGGTCCAGATCGACATCGTTGAGGTAGCTCTCCTCCGGTGTATCTGGCCAGCTCGCAACCCGGGTGCCACCGGCTGTCCGGGTTCACGAGGCCCGGCTGATCGGGTCCAGGCCGCCGTCGCCGTGCTCGACGTTGTTGCTCAGTTTCCGGAATACACGTGAGTCGTGACTCAAGTATAGTCTGTCGTCCACGACATACAAGTCCTTGTGCAGCTCGCGGAGTCGGGCCTGCAGCCGCCGCAGCTTTCCAGTCAAGGTGGTGACGTGGTGGTAGTCCCTTGCCAAGGGCCCGTGGACCGGCCGGTAATCCTCCCCCGGAGCGCGAGCCGGGTGCAGACCGGCGAGCGCCTCTGCCCTGCCCAGCACCCAGTCAAGTTGTAGCAAAAAGTACCGGCGGTGTTTTGTGATCCGCGCCATCCGCTCCCTGGGCAGGACGGAGAGACACAGTGAAGTCGACGTCTCCATTCCGTCTTCCGCGATTTGTGAGTATTGCTTATATTGTGCCACTGAGTAAAACAGTGAGAACTCGGGCGTGACATAAATATGAGTGATAGTTTGTTATAACAGTGGTGATGAGTGATAATGGTCCCATGACCTTTACGTTGGACCATAAAAGGCTGAACGGCGACAATTCTCTCCATCGCTATCATGCCACGTGAATACAAACTCGCGGAACTGGTATTGGCAGATGTTTGCCATCGTTTTACTCTCTTTTCCATGGTTCGTGGTTTCACGGATACTGATGTTTGTATATCTGAATATATGCGAAACAAATCTCCAAACGTCAGAATCTTGCCCAGAAACCTGATTACTGTAATGGATTCTTATTTGTACCGTCGCGACTTATCTGCACTGCGCCTGGTGCTGTGTTTGTGTCGTTGTTTGGCTTACGGTCTTCCACATAGGAAGAATCGACAACGAACAGTCGTCCTGTTCAAGCCACTTTGAGTTGGCTGTGCGTCAATTTGTCCGGGACAAAAATAGATACGACGCAAGCACAAGTCTGTTAAATGTGTGCCTGGAAGGATTCACACTAGCAATTGTCGAACCCGCTTGTCTCCACGTGGGGAAAGCGCCCCCAAAGGTGCGCTGGTTACAAACCACGGAAAATAACGAGTGTCGTAATTGCATACGGAAGGATCGCAAAGAATAGTTTCTGACCCGGAGCCGCATATCACTGGCTGGTATGTCGTTTCACTTTGTGGGCAGGGGTGGCCTTGGCCAAGAAGTCAAGCAATGCCAAGCGACGGTCAGGCCCGGGGAAAACACAAACGGAAAATGTTTTTTTGTTGTGCCTACCGAGCAATACTACATGCGACTCACTACATGCTACTCACGCGACTCAGAATCGATAAAAGTGCCTTTTTTTTTTTCCAAAACAGCACAAAAAAAGAAAAAAAGCGCGACACCACGCCAATGAATATGCTTAATATTCGACACGGAGAGTGCGTAAAAAATGAAATTTAAATCTCGTATTCATGCCCCATCTTGGAGCCACAGTACGAAGTACGCCCGACTGGTGGTGCATTGCAGGGGGAAGCCAAAACGCAAAACGCAAAGCGCCGGGACATCGGCACAATGACGACGCATAACGGCAACCCACAGTGGGGGAGCCAAGACGACCACTCCGTGAGCTGAGGAGATCGGAATACAAACTCGCATGGTTGGTCTGACAGCTCGGCTGTCGACCTTGGTTGATCTGACATGTGCTGACAACTCTGCATTTCGAACAAGGGATAATTCAAGGCACGGTTTGCTTATCATTTGCCGCGCAAGAAGGACATTGGACGTTGTGGGAGACAAAATATAGTTTTGTGTCCTACAGCAAAGCAGACGGTCTAGCGTGTATTTCGTAAATTCGATAAAGTTGACGGCTGTCACCTATTGTTTGGTGCTTCTTTGTGTCTTTGCGGCAGTGGGAATAGCAACTTTGGCTTAGTTTTGTCGCCTTCGTCATGCATTTGCTCTGACCGTTGGTACACATCTGTTGCGTGGAGGGAGGAAAGCCAATTGAAACAACCATAAAATAAAAATAAAATAAGGGCAGAGAAAAGTAGAAAAAGTGAAAAGACCAACGCGACCTGTCCGTGGTACAGGGACGGAGACTTTCCTCCTGCTCCCTGTCTCCCTGTCCTTGCTGTCCCTCGGTCGGCCATTGTTCTCCCTGAATTCTTGTAATCCAGAGTGGTGCTCCACAAAACACGGCATCGATGACGGCTCGACAGCGTGTTCTCTGGCGTTTGGCTACCACGACTACCTTGGCAGAGACAATCGTTAGTTTTTAAGATTTCTGCTAGGGCGAGAGGCTAGTGGCCCGCCGAACCCGCTTCTTTGACTTCAGTAGCGCCCGGGCGTCGAGTCTGTCTTTGTGATTTATGTTGCTTCGTCTTTGCAAGGGGCGCGCACTGGATCCCGGGCGGTGGTGAGTCTAGCGTGTCGATCTCCTCAGATTCTTTACCGTACGTCATCTCCGTAGCACTGCGTAGTCAGACATAGGCATAAGTCGGTGGACAGTCGTCAGCACAATGTAAGAGGTGACAAGTGGCAATGGAAAGGGGATGTTTTTGTTTGGGAGAGCAAGGGTGGGAGATGAAGGGTTGGGTAAGGAATGCTTTTTTTCTTTTCCTTTTGGAAACGACTGATTTAAACTATTTCCTTTGCTTTCCCATCCCTTTTGAAGCCTCGGAATTTCGTCTTCGTATGCCCGTCTGTCCAAGTCGGGGCCACTGTCGTCACCATCATAGATCACCGTCTTCGTCACCACCACCGCCTTACATCGACTGCATCATGTTGATCGGACTGTCACCACGACGGCGGTTCGCCGTCATCAGCATCTTCTCCTTTGTCGTGCTCCTCGCACTCTTCTCGCGCACCGAGATGGGCGTAACGGCCCTCGACACCGTCAAGGAAAAGCTGCCGCTGCCGCCCATGCGCAGCGGACAGGGACAAGGAAAGGAAGAAAAAGAAAAGCCACGACCGCACCCCAAGTACAAGCCGCTGCCCTCCGACAACAACGGATACGTCCCGCCGCCGGTGCGCGAACCCTTCCCGCTGCTAGCCAACTCGGACGCGTCGACGCTGCCGCCGCCGATCCCTGAGTGGAACCGCCCGCGGCCGAATCTGCACACCGAGTACGGCCTCGCGACGCCGCCGCCCCTGCTCATTGGCTTCACGCGGTCGTGGCCGATGCTGCTGCAGGCGGTGGTGTCGTACATCACGGCCGGGTGGCCCGCCGAGCAAATCTACGTGGTGGAGAACACGGGCGTGCAGCAGGCCAACACGCGCGGCCAGCTGACGCTGCAGCACCCGTTCTACCTCAACCACACGACGCTGCGCCGGCTGGGCGTCAACGTCGTGCAGACGCCGGTGTTGCTGACGTTTGCGCAGCTGCAAAACTTTTACCTGTCGCTGACGTACGCGCGCGGGTGGACGTACTACTTTTGGTCGCACATGGATGTGCTGACGCTGTCGTATGAGGAGGGGCTGGACGGCGTGACGCCGCCGTACAGCGACAAGGGTGTGAATGGCAAGGCCGGCTCCGGGTACAAGACGGTGTACGAGCTGTGCTGCCAGGCGCTGCAGGGCACGCTGCTCGACGACCCGCACTGGGGCCTGCGGTTTTTCGCCTACGACCACCTGGCGCTGGTCAACCCGGCGGCCTACGAGGCCGTCGGCGGCTGGGACACGCTGATTCCCTACTACATGACGGACTGCGACATGCACGCGCGCCTGGGCATGGCCAACTGGACCATTGAGGACCGACGCGCCGGCATCGTCACCGACGTCAACACCGTGCTCGCCGACCTGGCCGTGCTGTACCGCGTCGACGGGCTGCCGGACCCCGACTTTGTCGACCCCAACCCGCGGCCGCAGACGGCGGAGGAAAAGAAGATTCACGGGCGCGACGATGAGGCTGCTGCGCCCGCGCCCCCCGCCGACACCCGCCTCGACCAGTGGCGCAAGCTCCGCGACGTCTCCGACCGCATGTTCCAGTACAAGCACGGCGACCGCGAGCGCAACACGTGGCAGGCCGGCCAGACGGGCGGCCAGGGCGAGAAGTTTTACTATCCGGCCCAGGGCATCGCCGAAGGCATCGACGTCCTGACCGAGGCGGGCCGGGAGGTGTACCGGCGCAAATGGGGCCACCGGGACTGCGACCTGGTCGACGGGGCCGGGCTGTCGCTGTGGGACCAGTGGCTCGTAGAGAAGGATTGGTAGGGTGAGGGTGAGGTGTGTATGATACTCAACATGAATGTTCTTTGGGCACGGCGTTTGGTTACATTGGGATGCCACTGGGGCAAAGCACAATACTTGCAAAATAGATTGATTAATGGCCGTTCTGTTGTATTAAATACATGTAAGGGAAATACCTGGCCTGCGTCGGAAGAGAAATATGAAACAAAGATCTGGAAAATAAAAGCAAAGAAAAAGCAAAGACAAAGCAAAAAAAAAAAAATAGAAGAAGAAGACGAAGAAATAACTACCGCTGCCCTCCATAGTCCCTGCGTCGACATACGTCAATCACTGTGATAGCGTCCAGAATCTGGACTCAGCCGTCGTTAAAAAGCTGCACATTATTAGCCACTACAAAGCACTCGCCCATGACTCGTGAAGAAATTGCAGTCCGTCTGTACATCTCATAAACAATCCGTTCCCACGTGATGGAATCCAACATCGCAATTCTCCGCCAACTCATGTCGGACAGAGCCTCATGACTCCACTTTTACCGCCCAGGCATGCTGAAGCTCCGTCATTAATCGCCGCGTTTCTTCCGCAATGCGACATGACTCACACGGCATCCTCTCGCAGGAGACATACCATGAAAACGTCGACGCCAACAGTGTGTCATAACAATTCCTTGCTTTCCCAAAATTGACGCTAAATTACCTGACAATTGTATCGTCCACGAAAAAACATCGCCAATGTCGAAAACAGGCAATGGCCTGGCAGACGTTCTGCCCGCCATTGACGGCGTAGAGCCCGCGCCGCAAGACTTTGCCGACCTCCCCGACGTACATCTTCGCAGTCGGCCGGTGGACTTGTATCGCGTGCACGTCGCCAAGATTCTTGCCCAACTAACGGGGTGCGCCCCGGCCGTGGCCTACGATGCCGTGCAGTCCACGACGGCGTTGGCCAAGGGCGACTTGGTGGTGCCCGTGCCGCGACTGCGCTTAAAAGGCAAAATCGACGAGCTCTGTGCCGATGTGGCGGCCCGTTTTCCGGACACCCATCCGCTCTTTGCCAGGCCGGTGCCGACGGGCATTCACCTCCCCATCTACCTGCGCCCGCGTCCGCTTGCGCAGTACCTGCTTCCCTACCTGTTTGAGCGCAGCGCCCTGTACGGGCACGACCACACAGAGGGTGCCGCCAAACCGAAGCGCGTCCTCGTCGAGTTCTCGTCGCCCAACATTGCCAAGGAGTTCCACGCCGGGCATCTGCGCAGCACCATCATCGGGGCCTTTATTGCGAACCTGTACGCATCCATGGGGTGGGACGTGGTCAAGATCAACTACCTCGGCGACTGGGGCAAGCAGTTTGGCCTGCTGGCGGTGGGCTGGAAACGGTACGGTTCCGAGGCGGAACTGGCCCGCGCGCCGCTGCGGCACCTGCTGGAAGTCTATGCGCGGATCAACAAGGACTTTGAGCCCGAACAAGAAGCGAGCAAAAAGGCGCGCGATGAAGGACGCGACACGGCGGAGATTGAGTCCCAGGGCCTGTTTGCGGAGCGTAACGACTTTTTCCGCCGCATGGAAGACGGCGACGACGAGGCATTGGCGCTGTGGAGGCGGTTTCGCGACATCAGCATCGACCGCTATGTCGCCACGTACGCGCGCCTCAACATAGCTTTTGACGAGTACGCGGGCGAGTCGCAGGTGCAGCCGGAGTCGCTCCAGGCCGTGGAGACGCTGCTCAAGGAAAAGGGCGTCTACGAGGAAGAGAACGGGTCGTGGCTGATCGACTTCAAGAAGCATGGTGCCAAGGCCCTGGGCGTCGCGGTGGTCCGCGGCCGGACAGGCACCACGACGTATCTGCTCCGGGACGTCGGTGCCGTCCTCGAGCGCGAGACAAAGTACAGCTTCGACAAGATGATCTACGTCGTCTCCTCGGAGCAGGATCTGTACTTTCAGCGCATCTTCAAGGTGCTCGAGCTCATCGGCCGGGCCGATCTGGCGGCGCGCGTGCAGCACGTCAACTTTGGCAAGGTCATGGGCATGTCGTCGCGCCTGGGCAACGTCAAGCTGCTGAGCGACATCCTGGACCAGACGGCCGACGCCATGCACGACGTCATGCGTCGCAACGCGACCAAGTACGCGCAGGTCGACGACCCGGCCGCCGTCGCCGACACGGTCGGCATCGCCGCCGTCATGGTGCAGGACATGACCGGCAAGCGCATCAACAACTACCCCTTTGACATCAAGCGCATGACGTCCTTTGAGGGCGACACGGGCCCGTATTTGCAGTACTGCCACGCCCGCCTCTGCTCCCTCCTGCGCAAGGCCGGCCTCGCGAGGGCCGACCTGCACAGCGCGGTCCGCGAGCGCGGCCCCGCGGTCCTGGCCGCCCTGGGCCCCGACCTCGACACGCCCCACGGCGCCGACCTCGTCCGTCTCATGGCCCAGTACCCCGACGTCACGTCCACGGCGTTGCGCAACCTCGAGCCCTCGACCATCTTGACCTACCTGTTCCGCCTGGCCCACCAGCTGTCGTCGGCTTACGACGTCTTGCAGGTCGTCGGTGCCGACACGCGCGAGAGCATGGTTGCTCGTGCCGTCGTCTACGAGAGTGCGCGGCAGGTCTTGGAGAACGGCATGCGTCTGCTCGGCCTCACCCCTGTTGAAAGGTATTGTCGTCCCTCCTACATTCTCAAAGACAGCTGAGATTGCTAACTGATTGCAGGATGTGAACAACATAGTGGTTTTTACAAACATGATTATCGAGGTTGGAAAAGTGTTTGCGAGTTTGTGGGTTTACTAGTATGAGTTGGCAGCACGAGATAATTTTATATGTGAATTTACGCAAATCTCTGCTGCTTTTGGTGGACTCTAGAGAATAAAAGATGATGGGGCAATTAACTCGGATTTTGCACTGTGATCGCTAGTCCGTCACGTATCGTTATTATAATTACCGACGTAAAGTTGCTTCGGATTTTTCATGAAACAAACGTCCAAATACACAGGAGAATATTCTAACAATCAGTTGATATCCTGCTGCATGTATTCAATAAAAGCATAATAATTTTATCAAGACATCGAGTCCTAAATCCGCGGAGGATCAAGGTACAAGATATTCTTCCGCAGCTGAACGTGACCTCTGTCTTCCACCCATTGTCATCTCGATAACAACCGTCCCTTCGGACAAGAGAAGCGTAAGCTCCAGTACCAGTTCAGTCCTCGGACACTTTCATTACTAATTCTCTTGGATATTGATAATGGCAAATGGAAATGTGTCGTCCTTAGTAGAAGTCGTGGACGTCGCCGCGAGGACGGGTCTGCGATTCTCCGCCGACATGTGGGTCTCGATTCGTCAGGATCTGGAGTCCTGCTGGCCACTAAACCTTGTCAGGGCAGCGCGCGGTCGTTAGTCCAAACCATGTTTGAGCACCGCGCGGTCTTTAGCGCCATTTGTTTCGACGACGAAACGACGCCCGTTGCCTGTCGCCTGCAAAACTTGGCCGACGGAGCGACGGTTTGATTGTAGACGGGCGTAGAAGGCTTTCAATTGACAATCAGGTTTGCAGACGGAGATTATAACGCCCGACAGGATGACGAGAAGGGGTAGCATATCTTTCGTAGCTGTGGCTGTAGATGGAACACCAATATAAATAGACAGCAGCTCCCCGACGTGCAGATAACATCTGGGAGATCAACATCATCCATCTGCCTCTTAACAATTGACACCCTATCTACAACTTTCACAGCCTCTACCACAGCCGTCTTCATCATCCTTACTTTCACCATGTCCAACATTGCTGTCGCCGGCGGTCACGGCAACGTGGGCCGCACCCTTGTGGAGGTCCTGCGCGCTTCGCTGCCCGAGACCACCGTTTTTGCTCTGGGCCGCAAGACGCCCGAGGACGCGGCCCGCAAAGAGTTGTCGTTGGCGGTCGACTACTCGGACGTCGCGGCCACGACCAAGACGCTGGCCGACAACAACATTGGCACAGTCATCAGCGCCATCAGCGTGATGGACGCCACCAGCAGCGCCGCGCAGCTGTCCCTAATCGAGGCGGCTGTCCAGTCGGGCACCGTCGCGCGCTTTATTGCCAGCGACTGGGGCATGGAGCATTCCACAGAGTATGTTGCCTTCGGGGGCGCCCATGTCGTGTCTGCCTGCTGCCACTTGTGTACTGACTGACAAATAGTTCCTTTCTGTATCCCTTCCGCCACGCCGCCATCGAGGCCCTCGCCAAGACGTCGCTCCAGTACACGACCGTCGTCAACGGCTACTTTCTCGACTTTTACGGCCTCCCCCACGTCAAGTCCTACCTGCCGCCCCTGGGCTTTGCCATTGACGTCAAGAACAAGGTCGCGGGCATCCCCGGCACAGGCGACGACACCATCGCCGTCACGTACACCTTCGACGTCGCCGCGTTTGTCGCCCGGCTGCTGTCGCTCGACACCTGGGCGCCCACGACGTATCTGTACGGCGACCGCCTCACCCTGAACGAGCTGCTGGCGCTGGCCGAGGCGGCGCGCGGCGCCAAGTTTGCGGTGTCGTACGATTCGCCCGCGTCGCTGGCCAAGAACGAAATCACCGAGCTGCCGCTGCACGTCGCCTTTTACAAGATGGTGCCCAAGCCGATGGTTCAGGGCATGATGGCCATGTTTGGGCGGTGGGTGCTGGAGGGGCGGTTCGATGTGCCGGTCGAGAAGACGCTCAACGTCCAGTTTCCCGAGGTCAAGACGTCCTCGGCGGCCGAGATTGTGGGCAAGTGGAAGGGCCACTAGGGTGTGCAGTCGGGTGGCATGAGGCTCGATAAAGAGCATGTAGATTTCTTTAATTCAATAGTTTGTCACTTGTCATTACATGAAAACAGGACTGTCGGCTAGCAAGGCCACTGATTCTCGAAATGTGCGTGGTGGTTCGTTGTGCTGCTGAGGCGGCCGCTTCCACAATTCCTCCAAGTGGTGCAGCGTCGACGCCAGGCCGCCGAATTTCTGTAGAGAGCCGGCAGTAGCCACAATGTTGCGGATTGCGGCTCGTTGCTCGACAGTCGCCATGATGCCCGTGACAAAGATGGGCCAATTGAGGCCCCGTAGCACAGCCGGCGACGACAGTTGTTGCAACAGCGCAAGGACGGTTGTGGCGTTCTCTTTATGAGACTTGCTGGCGCAGTTGTCGCAGGCACATTGTCTCGTGACTGTATCCAAATACAACAGGCCGGCATAGGCCCAGATGCGTGTGACTTGGGCCTGTTCCTCAAGTTGGGCGCCGCTGTCGGGCCGGTAGTAGGCTTGCAAGAATGGAGGCGGAGACGCTGCACTCGCACATGTACTTGCACTGAGCGGAGATGTTGCGGATTCCGTGTCTCGCGTCAAATGCTGTAGGCCATCGTGGATGCGCCACGAAAGGCTTTGACTCCGCGCATGGAGCTCTGTCAGCCGGCCCGGGTCGCCACGGTTCACCTCGGAGCCCTGGTATGCCCAATTGGCAAGCACGGCAATCTCGCTGATGAGAATCAGCATCCAGCCCTGGCATCCGACCACGTCTTCCATGCGGAGTCGCCTGGTGTCTTTTGTAGTTCCGTCTGCTTGCGCAATGAGTCGCGGGTACCATGTTCGCAGGTGCGGCATCCCTTGCCGCGTCGTGCTCTCCACAATGTCCATGTACAGAAGCACACTGGCCGCGAAACGGAAGGCCGCTTGGTCAATGTTCCAGATGCGCCAGCCGGTGCCCTGCCGTGCCTCCGAAAACGAGCTGTCGAGCGACGCCAGGACGTGGTCGAGGGAGTCGTACTGCCGGACAATGCCGTCAAACACGTCTGTGGCGGCACGCAGGTGAATGGCGCGTGTTCCTGTCCCCGTCCCGGCGCCGGTCCCCATGGCCGTTTCAAACACTTGCAGCTGCACAATGTTCACCAGCAGCCGCGTGCGCGGGACCAGCGCCGTGTCCGCCGGCGCGTGGGGAATGCTGTCGATGACGGCCCGCACGGCGCGGCTGGCTTCTTCCATGTGCTGGCCAAGAATGTCCCAGATGAACCTACCGCAGAAGGATTGGAGGGTTGTGTGGGACTGGGCCGTCTGAGATGTTTCCGACGGCGACTGCGGCGTCGATTTTGACGGGGTTTGTGTTATCAGGGCCAGAAAGTAGGAAGCCAGGCTCATGGCCGTGTGGTACAGCGGCTTTTGCGTCTGCAGCGTCGCCAGGACCCATGCTCGGCCGCCTTCAAAGATGGTTGGGCGGTAGTGCGGGAACAAAAAGGGAAACACGTAGTCGAGGTACATGACGGTGAAGTCGGCGGAAATGTACGATTGCCCGGGCGGCGCAAAGGCCGCCGACGCAGAAACAGGCGAGGATGGAGGCTCGACTGTGTGCGAGGACAATGGTGCTTGGATCGACGACGAATTGTTTGCGTTTGCTCCTGCTTGTTCCGTTTCCTTCACAGCCGGCACGCCCCGACCATCTATATTCATAAGCAGCTCGGATCTCTCGTCACCGCGTTGTGGGCGATTTTGGACCCTGCGGCGTTGTACGGCAAGCGATCTCTCTCGGACCTGGTGTTCTTTGATTTGTGCTCGGATGACTAGGTAGTACTGTTCCTGTGCTTTTCCACCTTCCATCCAGCGCGGCCGTGTCTCGTCACCATTGCGACAGGAAATGCCCAGGTCGCGGCAGTTGCTGCAGAGGGGGAGTGTGCGGTCGCACTTTTTCTTGCGTAGACGGCATGTCCAGCAGGAAAGCCGCGAGTGTTGAGGCATGTCGGTCAATTGCTCTAGTTTAGCAAATGACCACGATTGTGATGGAGATGGGCTTTGATGGCAACCAGTGTTGGCGGGAATGCTGATGATGGAAAGAGTTTGGCTCGGCCTGAGAGGTGAGAGTGCGGGGTTCGGGATGCTGTGAGTACAGTCTAAGACATGGTGATGAACATGGGCGAGTGTGGATGAAGATGATCAGACGGGCGACGATGAGTTTGACCGTGATGCAACTCAACTTTGTGAGATGCAAGAAGAGTGTGGATGAAGATCATCTTTGACACACAGCTCTTTCCGTTTTGTCACTCGTTGCAATGAGTTGACCAATCCGAGACGTCGCGTGCTTCCGCTATCCGCACCGTCCGCCAGCGCACTTACATGCTGAAAAGTGGATCTACACGTGACTCTCACCAAACCGCCCCGCTTTTGTGTTATCACGCAAGAGCTAACTCACGTAACGCCATTTGTCGAAAGCGCCATGGTCCCTTATCAGCTGCGTTCTCGTTGTGGGTGTCAAGTGCTGGCGCGCGGAACGCTGTCGACGACACACCGACACCGTTTGGCCGAGATGTGTGCGTATAACTGCGGTTGTGCTCCTGTCCATACACGATCATGGCCAGCCAAGCCCAGTTTGTGCCGCTGTCGCCGCCGCCGCGGTCTTTGCGAGTGTCTCAACGGCCGCCAACAGCATGCAGAGGTAGGCCCACGGATTGTTTGATTCGTTTTGTGTTCTTTTTTCATGTTGTGTCGTTCAGACGACGGGCGAGGCTGACAGCCAACTGACTTGGTAGAATGCTCGCAACGCAAGGTCCGGTGTGACAAGGAGACGCCGTGTGGCCGATGCGTTCGGCTGTCCAAAACATGCACCCGCGAGGTGGTGCGGATCAGCAAGTCGCTGTCGCTGCACCGGGACGAGCTGCGGTTCCTGCGGGCACTCCGGGCCCGTCTGGTCGCGCTGGGGCCCAGCTGCCACGATGCCGTCGCCGACATTGACCGACGCGTCCACTTCCTGGAGCACGGCAAGTCGGCCGCGTCCGACGATGGGCCACCCCAGCCAGATGCCAACGACATGAACGGCGCCGCCATGGGCGTGGACCCTGCGATGCACAGCCCGGCACCGACGGATGAAGACGAAATGCGCAGCAGCTACGGCGGAACGGCGACTGTGGCCAGTCCGACAAGCATGGCCACATCGGCGTCGACGCCGGTCGTCAGCGTGCAGCCACGAACCGTGCAGTACCAACACCAGCAGCAGCACCAGCACCAGCGCATGCCGACCACGCACCAGCTCGACGACAACCATGCGTCCATCCTGACCGGCTTCGAGTTTCTGGCCTGGGGCCGGCACAGCCAGGCATGCTTCCCGCACCGCCGCTGCCGCTGCTACCAGAACCGGCGGTATTCGGAGCTGGCATCGATCAACTGCGACGCCGCGTGGGTCGGCCGGCAGGCCATGACGCTGCGGGCGGACGCCAGCGACAGCGACCCGACGGAGCCGTCGGTGCTGCTGCCGCCGCGCGTTGCGCGTCAGGTGGTGGCGTTCCACATGGACCACCTGCGGTGGCACCACAACGCGTTCCACGGGCCGACGTTTGTGGCGCAGTGCGAGCAGTTTTGGCGCACGGGCACGGCGGACCACCCGCTGTGGCTGGCGCTGTACTTTGCCGTGTGCAGCGTGTCGCTGTGGACGCTGCTCAACAACGAGCCGTACCGGCGCGAGGTGACGGGCGACTGGGACTTTGACGAGGCGCTGGTGGGCCGGCAGTTCCAGGCCATGGTGCACACCCTGTACGGCGAGAACTTTCTGGAGAACCTGTCGCTGTACGCGGTGCAGGCGATTGTCATCTCGACGCGGATCGCGCACAACCTCGACCGCACGGACCTGAATGCGATTCTGGTGGGTGCCGCGGTGCGCATCGCCCACTGCCTGGGCCTGCACAAGATTGCGGACCCGGTTGCCGACCCGCCAGACGAGGGCACCGAGGTGGACGCGTGGCACGAGCGGGTCGAGATCGAGACGGGCAAGCGCGTGTGGCTGCAGCTGGTGATCCAGGACCACTTCCAGATCCCGTACACGGACACGTACGTCATCCACCCGTCGCAGTACATCACACCGCTGCCGGACAACTGCAACGACGAGGACATGGTGGCGCGGCCGGCCCGCGAGCCCACCAACTCGTCGTACGTGCGCATGCTGGGCCGGACGGCGTCGCTGATCCCGCCGCTGCTGGACGGGCTGGGGCCGATGGGCGCGCGCAAGCCGCCCGCCGAGGCGTACCAGCACATCCTGGCGTGCGACCGCGTGATGCGGGCCAACGTGGCGCAGATCCCCGAGTTTCTGCTGCGGGACGACGCGGCCCCCGCCGCAACGAAGACGCCCTGGCTGGCGCTGGCCCGGCGCACGCTCGCCATCTCGGCCGCCGAGAAGATCATCATGATCCACCGGCCGGTGCTCTACGACTCGTTCCAGGGCGGGCCCGCGTTCCGGCACACGCGCACGACCTGCGTGGCCGCGGCCACGACCATTCTGCGCGAGCACGAGCAGGCGCTGGCCGAGCAGACGCTGTCCATCTGGACGCACTCGGCGTTTTGCGTGACGGCGGCCGTCGTGCTGGGCCTCGAGCTGTTCCACCGCACCGACCACACCGACGACACGGCGCACGCGTACCGGCAGACGCTGGCGCGGGCCGCGGACCGGCTGCGGCACCGGCGCTGCGACGCCATGGCCAAGCGCGGCGCCGTGCTCATCGACACGCTGCTGGCGGCCGAGGAGGACCTGGTGCTGCGGCTGATGCGCACGGCGCGCAGCGGCGACGCGTCGACGGCGCACCACCAGGCGGCCATTATCAACGACATGCTGGGCCGGCACGAGATCATGGCGCGGTTCCTGGCGCGGGCGCCGCCCAAGCCGGACAGCAGTGTCGGCGGCGGCGGGGGCAGTGCCGGGAGCACGCCCGTGGCGATGGGTGGCGGTGTGAGTGGGGGCGTCGGCGGTCCGGCCATGGACGTGTCGCCACCACCGGCCGTGTCTCTGTACCAGGGGCCGCTTCTACCGAATGCGTCCAACAGGGGCAACAGCGGCAACGCGGGCCACAGCGCAAACCACGACGGTATGAACGCGTTGCTCACATCGATGGACCTGGACACGAGCCAAGACTTTGAGTCCTGGTTCAACAACGTGTTTGCTCCAGTGTACGACCCGCTGCTGTAGCCGTCTACGTAGTGCCTTGTTACATTTATTGCACTTACGAGAAATGAAAGGATGCCACTACTTTCTAGAAACGAATGTCATAATTGCAATTGGCTAGTGTATGTAACGCAAGTAAAAATAAAGTAAAATCATCACAACGCCAACACCCCACTAGTAGTTGTAGAGCTTCACAACTGGAGACGCGATGGGCTGGCCGTCCTTGTCAACGTGGCTGGCGTCCACGCCGGCTACACCATCGCCCCCACCGACCTCCTTCTTCAGCTGCCGGTTGGCCAGGGCGTACAGGACCAGCAGGGCCAGGGTGACGGCGACGGAAAAGGCCATAAAGGCGACGGCAATGGTCCAGCCGCGGTGGTAGTAGGGCAGGTCGTCGGAGCGGAAGAGCTGGCCGCCGACGATGCCGGCGCAGTTGGCGGCCATGATGAAGAGGGCCATGCGGATGGAGCGCTCGGCGGGGGAGCGGGCGTTGATGGCGAGCCAGGAGCCGTGGGCGGCGTGCCACCAGCTGCAGGTGGCGCTGGCGAGAGTGAGGAGGGCAAACTTGGTGGCACGGGCGGCGTCGTCGTGCAGGCACTTGTAGGCGACGGTGAAGACGAACTCGATGGCGACGGCGACGAGGACGAAGCAGCCGCGGCGGCCCCAGCGGTCGGCCACGAAGCCGCCGAGGACGACGAGGGCCACCGACACCCACTGGCCGACGCTGGTCATGGCGTTGGAGGCGAGGCGGTTGAAGCCGTAGGAGGCGACGATGGTGGGCGCGTAGGACCACAGCGCCGTGGAGGGCGCGAGGCCGACGGTCGTCAGCAGCACGTGCAGCCAGACCTTGCCGCTGAGCAGCGTGACGCGCAGGTCCTGCCACGCGACGCGGCGCCGCAGCGGGCCGGCCGTGGGGTCGTCCAGGGCCTTGCGCTGGCGCAGGATCAGCAGCTCGCGGTCGCTAAAGTAGCGCACGCCGGCAAAGGAGACGGGGTGGCTCGGCAGGCCGGGGAAGAGGGTGACGAAGACGACGCCGGTGAGGACGGTAAAGATGCCTTCGAGCTGGGTGGGTTAGCAAATGTCAGGGGGTGTCGTATGATACTATGACACACGGGAGGGGGACGTACAATAAACAGCCACTGCCAGCCGGCCAGGCCAGCGAGGCCGCGCATGTGCAGCACGCCGTAGGCAATGAGGCCGCCGGCGGCCGTGGCCAGGCCGTTGCCCAGGAAGAAAAAGGCATAGCGCCGGCTCAGCTCGTGGGCGCGGTACCACTGCGAGATGGTAAAGAGGCTGCCCGGGATGAAGCCCGACTCGCAGAGGCCCAGCAGCAGGCGCGTCGACAGGTAGCCGCCGAGGCCCTTTTGGAACGACTGGAAGGTGGCCACGAAGCCCCACAAGAAGATCTGGACGCCGATCCAGGCCTTGGGGCCGACGCGGTACAGCACGAGGTTGGACGGGATCTCCAGCACGACGATGCCGGCGTTGAGCAGCTGCGTGCCGATGTTGAACTGGTTCTGGGTGATGCCGACGTCCTTGAGGAAGTTGTCCGTCAGGGCGTTGCCGGCGTTGGCGCGGTCGAGCTGCAGGCCAAAGAAGACGAGCATCAGGATAGGCATCACGATCCAGTCGACCTTGCGCACCAGGGCCTGCTCCTCGGCCGCGGTCCACGTCAGCGTGTGGCCGACGTCGCTGTCGCTGGCGTTGCCGGCGGCGTTGTCGGCGCCGGGCATGCTGGAAAGCGCCTGGGCCGACTTTTCCTCGTCGGACACGGGCACAGAGGCCGTGAGGAGGTCCGACTTGGCCATGTGGGAGGTGTGGGCAATGTTGGTGATGTTGTGCTGCAAGCTGTGGACGTGGTGAGAAATAGTAAAGATGCAGTCACAGTCTGCGGCCCGCTTGGTCCATTCATCTGTCGATCGGCCCCTTGGCGGAACGAGTCTTCATATACTCGTCGAGAGAACCTGGCAACGGGCACAGGTCCTGATGGGCAAATCTAGCGTCGCGATTGCACCATCTTGGACGTGCGCCATGGATGCCACTCTTTTTGGCGGCGACACAGCACGCAGCGTATCGAGTGCGGATGTGATAGGAGATGGAACGAGATGGCGCGGACCTTGTCTGAAAGCAAGCCCTGTCACAGGCGCGGGCGAGACGGACGCGGCCCACAAGTGGAGCCGCCCAGCAAGGCCATCTTGATAACTCGGGCGAGATTGCATCTAGGCCGTGTCTGCACGCGACGGTTGATGGTGATATCGTTGCAATTGATTTCGCAATTGCACGATCTTGGCATCGTGCCCGCAAGACTCCGACGTCCGACGTGGTTGTTAGAGGGTGCATTCCATCTCAGCTTCCAAAGTCATTTCTTTTTATAACAAACACACCACGGACCAAAGCACAACACAACCATCATTCCTCGCCTCACACCCACGCGACACCAACATGGGGCGCTCACCAACGACACCCGCCCTCCTGGCCCTGGCCCTGGCCGCGGCCGTAGCCTCCCCAGCCTCTGCCGACACCACCTACCGCTCCCGGCCCGACCTCTCGCCGCCGCACCTCAACATCACCATTCCGTGCAACGGCCGCTGCGCGCCGGGCTACCTGTTTGTGTCGCCTTTTACCACGTACGGCGAGCCGGACGACCGCGTCTCGAACCAGGTGGCGCCCTACATTCTGGACAGCGCCGGCGACCTCGTCTGGTCCGGCTTTGGCTACTTTGCCGGCTGGACGTGCAACTTGCAAGTGGCGCGGTACCAGGGCCAGGACGTGCTGTTCTCGTTTGAGGGGCTGCACAACGGCAACCACGGCCACGGCCACGGCCACCACACGCTGCTGGACGACCACTACAGCGTCGTGCGCGTGCTGCGGGCGGGCGGCCACCGCGTGTCGGACAAGCACGAGTTTGAGATTGTGGACGAGACGACGGCGCTGCTGCAGGTCTACGAGCCGGTACAGCGGAACCTGGCGGCGTACGGCGGCGACGACGCGCAGACGTGGATTGTCGACGCGCGGTTCCAGGGTAGGTCATGGACGGGCAACACGTCATAGGTACGCTGGAGTGCATCTACTAACCGAACCACAGAACTCGACATTGCCACGGGCGACGTCGTCTTTGAATGGAGCAGTCTCGACCACGTGTCGCCAGACGGTGAGTCCACATTGGCACCCGCATCCCATCTCAGCCCCTCTAACAACTCGCAGAGTCCGCCCTCTCCCTGCCGCGCGGCCTGGCCGGCGTGGGCCGCAGCAGCGCCACCGCCTGGGACTATTTCCACATCAACTCCGTCGCCAAGGGCGCCGACGGCCACTACCTCGTGTCGGCCCGCCACGCGTCCACCATCTTCAAGATCAACGGCACAGACGGTTCGGTCATATGGCGCCTCGGCGGCAACCACTCCGACTTTGTCCTCGGCGATGGCGTCCGTTTCGGGTTCCAGCACCACGCGCGCTACTTTGTGGAGGGACAAGACGGCGGGGCGGACGTCATGTCCCTCTTTGACAACTCCGTCTACGGCTCCGAGTCGGCCGGCCGCGGCCGCGAGATCCGCGTCAACCCCTATTCTCGCGGCAAGTACATCCGCCTCGACCACGCCGCCCACACCGCCACCCTCGACCGCGCCCTCGAGCCGCCCGCCGTCGCCGTCCCCGCCCGCGCCCGCGGCGACCCGCCCATCCTCACCAAATCCCAGGGCTCCCTGCAGTCCCTGCCCGGCGGCGGCGACCTCGTCAACTGGGGTTCCGAGGGGCAGGTCACCGAGTACGACGCCGCCGGCACGCCCGTCTTCCACGCCTGGCTGGGCCGCGGCTTTCTCCGGGACAGGCTGCAAAACTACCGCGCCTTCCGCTTCAACTGGACGGGCCATTCCGCCGAGACGCCGGCCGTCTACGCCGAGCAGCCGGCGGCGGAGGCGTCGGGCGCCGTGGATGCGGGCGGCGCGGTGCGCCTGTTTGTGAGCTGGAACGGCGACACCGTCACGCGCGCGTGGCGCTTCTCGTGGGGCGAGCAGCCGACGACGGACGACGCGACAGGCACCGTGTGGAAAGCCAAGGTGGTGCCACGCCGCGGGTTCGAGACGTCGACGCGCATCGACCGGGCCAAGGACGTGCGCATCGTCGCCGTCAAGGCCGAGGCACTGGACGCGGACGGCCGTGTTCTGGGCGCGTCGTCGACTGTTGCCGTGCAGCAGGCACTGACAGAGACGGTGCGCAAAGGCAACAACCGCGTGGAGGGACAGGACAGATTAGGGCTGAATGTTGAGCTGTAAACAATAGGTATAGCGTATTAATTGCAACAAATTTTTCTCATTTGATTTGAGGATACCGCCCGGCGTCACCGGGTTACGCTGCAGAGTCCACACATTATCTCCATTCTATCTTCCTTCGCGTGCCGCGATAACCGGGACTCGACTTGCTTGCTTCATAATATTGCGGCCCGCTATTAGGCCTGTTGTCAAGACTGGGAAATGAGTGTGCCAAGGCGCTATGCAGCGGCTCAACTTTGCTATCCGCCGAAATGATGTCACTTGCAGCGGTGGATGCATGCCAAGGATGCCTGGCAGGTTTTACGTCGAACAGGGTCTCAAGGGTCCAATTGACAAACGAACCAACAGATGGACCTTTTCAAGGGCCTCTCTTTATCGCTTCAATGATGCTAAGTGGTCCTGCGAACACGTCCGAGTCAATCCATTTCGTCTCGTCATAAGCTTAAAACCCGTCCGGGGAGTACATACACTTTCTCACCCATTGGTCGCCCCACAGGGCAGATGACATGCCCAAAGCGGCAGGGATCATAGGTCTTTTCAGGGATTGAGGGCATCCTTCGCGAAATCAGGGCGGCATAGCCTCGCCACTGTAACGCCAAGCAGTAAACAAACTGGCAGAGTTTATGTCCGGGGTGTCGTGCCGAAGGGGCCTCGTGTGTAATTAATGTAATGATAAGATACGTCCACCATGGCGATAAATCATCTCACAATTCTGCCTCTACCATCGCCAACATACATCATCAATACCAACATCACGAAGATAATTATTCTCGACACAAAAACTCAACAAGACACCTCACCATCACAATGTCCTCTGCTGCCTCAGCGACGTCAAACGCCCCCTCGCCGGCATCGACCTGCCCCGGCGCCGGCGTGCTGCCCGACCTCGAGTCGCTGCCCATCCCCCACGACGTCCCCGTCGCCGTCATCCCGGGCACCAACGCGTCCGAGCCCGACATGGTCGCCTGCTGCTCGCCCAACGCCGTCCACGTCGTCGAGGGCTGCTACCTGTACTGCCAGGCGCCGCCCGCCAACCCAGACTTGAGCTCGTTTGGCAACTGCCTCACGGTCAACCACCGCGACCTCAACAAGTCGCGCATCCTGGGCTTCAGCAACGACGCCGCACCGGGCGGGCACACGTCGCCGTCGATGACAATGGCGCAGCTGGGCGTGTGGGCGCTGCTCGTGTCGGGCGTTTCGAGCATGGTGTTTTCGGCATGAGTGGCGGAGGAGACAATACCAATACCCTACGCTGTGAGGACATGCGGAATGGAGACGGGCCGTGCGACAAAACGCACAATCCATTGTACCCTGTCGTTTGCAGACTATCATAGTGTTCTTTCTGTTCTATGTACCATATGTCCACTATTAATTACAATTGCATCTCGTCTCACGTCGTCACGTCGTCACGTCGTCATCGTTCACATCGCGTATAGAGCGCGCCCGCCCATTCAATGACGGTGCTGGCCGCAGCTGCCGCCCAGCGCCGCGCGGGCCAGCTTTGCTTTGCTCAGGGGCCGCGGCGGGGGCAGCAGGTCGGCGCCGGAGAGGTCGGCCACGGGTGCGCGCTTGGCGGCGGCGCCGGCGGCAATGTTCTGGGCGTAGATCAGGTTGAGCCAGTTGGCGAGGCGGTAGCCGGCCTTGGCGATCTGCAGCTCGACGGTGGGGACGACGCCGTTGTAGTAGGTCGGGTAGAGGTCGCCCGTCTCGAGGGCCGCGACGCCGTTGGGCATGACGACGGAGCACACGAGCGCGTTGGCGTCGGCAGCCCAGCGCGTGGCGGTGGCCACGGCGCTGCCGACGTCGTCGCCGGCGATCCACGACGCCTTGGCGCTGGCGTAGCTGCCCGTGTTGATGGCGGCCGTGAGGCTCGTGGCCCACGACTGCGCGTCGGCGAGCGTGCTGCCGCCGACGAGCTTCTCGGGAATGTACGTGTCCCAGTCGGCGTGCAGGTTGTCGCTGTAGCCGTCAAACGTGACCTTGATGGTGTTGCCGCCGACGTCGAGGGCCTCGTCGTGCAGCGGCTGCGTGATGTCGCCGACAAAGTGCACGAGGAACTTGAGCGCCTGGTTGATGTTGGCCGCGCTCAGGCGCCCGTCGCCCACGCGCTGCGTGTAGTTGGCAATGGCGCTGATGGAGCAGCCGCTGCTGCCGCAGTCGCGCGCGTAGTCGACGTTGCAGCTCGACGGCGGGTTGTCCTCGGCGTCGATGAAGTGGAACGGCGCCGACCACTTGCCCGCCGTCGTCGCCCGGTACGTGTCGGCCCACGACGCAACGTTGGCCAGGTACGACGTGGAGGTGTCGCCCAGCACGCCCTGCGCCCACGTCTTGACCTCGCTCGTCACAAAGTTCTGCGCCACATACGCCACGGTGGCGTGGCCCAGGCTGCCCCAGGCATGGGCGCCCTGGAGACTGGCCAAGCCGGCCAAGACGGGAACGTAGGAGGTCTTCATCGTGGATCAAGATGGGGAAATTGGAGAGCTGTGTGGGGAGGTACCGGAAGGTTGCCTGGCTCCATTTCCTGGTGAATGCGTCGACTCGAGCCGGTTTATATAACTCGAGGGGATGGGACGAACATGGGAGGGACAACGACTGCGTATCCGGAACGACATTTTGATTTCCCTTTCTGGCCTCGGTGGACTGGCCGCATACTGCCAGGTCCCTCCCAGCTCGATGCGCATGCGTACAAAAGTACTGTCGTGAGCTTGTATTATGGAACAAGCACCACGACCAATTAAGCTTATCGCACCGGACGACGTTCGGTCCACTCAGCAGCCGTGACGCAGCAACATGGTCCAGCTGCCGGCCAAGCAGCCAATTGCTGCACGGCACTAGGAAACATGGGGAAGGAGGTAAGATATGCACGACATGCGACTTTGTGCTTCCAATGCTCGTTCGGTTCGTTCCACCGCTCAACTGCCGCCCAAGACGGGCCAAAGCGGGCCAGAATGCCCAGTAGCGCCCGGCGGTGTACTAAACAGGAAACTGGCTTTGGGCCGTCATTTACACCACAGGGGCTGCTGGCTATCGATTGGTTCAGAATGAGCGTCAGGATCGGCACTGAAACGACGAATGCAATATGGAAAAACAAGGGCGTCGGCGGCGATCGATGCTGCTACACATCGTAGTACTCTGTCGATCGTAGTGGCTATGGAGATATGGTCTCTCTCAATGGTGGACAAGCCTGCGTAACGTGGCGCCCACTATGCCTAATGCGACGCCGACGGCCGATGTCGACATGGACGAGGGGAAAATGTGCTATAGCGAAGAACAAAAGGTCCTCGCTTGTGCCGAGAACTCCGGGCACCGACAGTCGCAATACCAGTCTCAGAACATGTTGAGCATCGCACGTTTGTATGAACATGTGCAACGTGCTTGAGCCACCGTGTTTTAAATGTAAAAACAGGTGTCGTGACGTTCGGATTCTGCATTTATTTCGTCTTTCCTATCCGCATCTACCACGATCCACGTCACATGGGCGAGTCGTTGGCCACAGCAGTACCTCCCCACTTGTGTAAACTGAGAATTATGATCTTGGCATTGCCCTGCGAAGAAAAGTCACGAAGAAAACGGTGCGGAACTGTCCGCGTTGGCTACCGACCGTCGCCTTGTGTCTCCCGCCCCCTGCCTCTTTTCCACCGGGCCAGTACTACTCTCCGATCCGACTATGCTCAAATGCGACTCTGCAACTGTGGAGTTGACCACAGGCATGTGATTCCGTCGAGATAAAGACAACAAAGTTACGGATGAATTGTATTAGAATGCGTTACCAAGACTTTGCATCGTAGGTCACAACAACAATGTCTACATATCTTGATTTGTTCTATATTTATTATTTGACGATAAAAAGAAAAAGAAAACAAAACAATATCACTGTTACCCTACTAAAATATCTCAACAATAAATACATGCTTTTATGAAAACGCCAATATACAATCAATTCCTTTACGTAAATGCTCACCACCAACTACTTTCTTGGCTTCGTCGACAGCAACAAGGTGCACACCACCGTGACGCTGCCCACGGCCAGCAAAAAGTACAGCCCGCGCCGGCAGGCCTCGTAGTAGATGCCCTGCACGACGACGCGCGTGTCCGCAGGCAGGTCCCGCAGGGCCTCGACGGAGTGCGTCAGCGTGTCAATCAGCTCGGCGCCGCCCGGGGTGCCGGCAAAGACGTCGGTGAGCCGGGCGAGGAGGTGCGTCTGCACAATGGTGGAGATGGCGGCGACGCCGGCGACGGAGCCGACGGAGCGCACGAGGTAGACCAAGTAGGTGGCGACGGCGTGCTCGCCAAAGTCGCAGGCGCCGATGAAGCGGAAGAGGCTGGCCGGGTAGGACATGCCCTGGCCGAAGCCGCCGACGGTGAGGTAGGCGGCGTAGTGCCAAGAGGGGTCGTGCATGCCGAGGGCGAGGTTGGCGACGCCGCCGGCGAGCAGGACGAGGGCACCGCCACGGGCCAGGGCGGTGAGGAGGGCGTTGGGCCCGCTGGCTGCGTAGCGCGGGGCGAGAAACTTCATGGCGAGGCCCGTCGTGAGGCCGCCGAGGGGCGTGGCGAGCGACGAGGCGACGAGGCGCAGGCCGGCGACGGCGGCCGAGTCGAGCAGCACGGCCTGGAAGAAGAGGGGCATCAGAAACAGGAAGCCGTAGCCAGACATGCCGAGGCAGACGTTGGCGACGAGCAGGGACACGCGCTCGACGCCGTGGAGCATGCTGAGCGGCAGCAGGGGCACGGCCGTCGTGCGGGCCTCGACGGCGAAAAAGACGGCCAGCAGCACAATGCTGCCGCCAAGGCAGCCGAGGACCGACGGCTGCGCCCACGCCAGGGCGGCGCCCGCGCCCGCCCCGCCGTTGTTGCTGCCGGCACTGAGCGCCGCCAGAAACAGGGACAGGCCGGCTATGAGCAGGACGGCGCCGAGAAAGTCAACCTGCTCCCACGTCGACATGGGCCGCGTCACGGTGGCCGTGGCCGTCGAGGGTTCTCGCGCGTTGCCACCGACGACAGACTCGACGTCGGCATCGATGCCGTCGCCGTCGCCGTCGACGTCAGGCTTGACAATGGCGCGGTGCCGCCGGGGCACAATGCTCTTGGGCACCACGACGCGGGCCACAACCAGCGCGGCCAGGCAGATGGGCACCTGCACCAGAAAGGCGAACCGCCAGCCCAGCCAGCCGGCCAGCGTGCCGCCCAGCGACGCGCCCAGGATGGCACCCACGCCGTGCAAGATGTTCTGCCCCGCCTGGTACATGCCGCGCTGCTCCGGCGCAATGAGGTCCGTGTTGATGATGGTCGCCATCGTCATGAGGCCGCCGCCGCCGGCGCCCGCCAGCGCGCGCATGGCAATCAGCAGGCCCAGATTGGGGCTCAGCGCGCAGCCGAGACAGCCGAGGCCAAAGAGCAGGGTGGCCGCCAGCAGGCAGGCCCGCCGGCCGACAATGTCCGAGAGGCGGCCGTAGAGCGGCTGCAGCGCCGTCGTCGTGACGAGGTACGACGTGGAGATCCACGCGGCCAGGTTGGCGCTCTGGAACTCGGACGTGATGACGGCGTACGTCGAGGCCGTCACGGTGCCGTCGAAACCGGCCAGGAACACATTGGTGAACAGGGCCGCCTCGATCCAGAAGAGGCCCGGGACGGCCTTGGCGCCGGGCGGGACGTTGCCGTGGACGGGCTGCGCAGCGGCGAGGAGGGGAGAGGTCTCGTCATGCTGGGCAACGGCGTCGCTCGACGTGTTGGCATCGCCATTGTGGCGTGGGATGTCGCGTCTTGCCATGGTAGTGTGTCTGAGTGTGACGCAGAGTCGGACGAGTGTAGACAAGAGTGAATCCGACAAGGTGCAGGACAACGTGTTGCGGACAATGTGTTGTCGTTTTAAGATGAAAGGCCAGACAAGCTGTTGAACAATGGCACCATCCGCGTCCGATAGTAGAGCTTGCTAAACATCCACCAAAACGTAAAGCTCGACTGGAACAACAGCTTACCTACGCCGTACATTTCCATGTCGGCCGTTGATGATACTTGCCCGAGCAGAGGTCGACACTATATCTCGGCCGAGTCCATTTCTGCCCCGACGATAACTGTGGGGCGCCCGCAATCACGACATCCGCTAACGATCACAACTTCGGGCGCTAATCCAAGACACGAGCGACCCATGCACATAATACCAGGTCGTGGACTTGCATTTGATGTAGAGGGTATCTTGTTAACCTGGCTGATACCGAAGCAGT